AACTCATAAGATATTTTCGTCATATAGTTTCGATATTATATGGGCCACCCTTTCCTTTTCCATGGGTACCGTAAGAAGCGACTAAGGGATGGGCATCAATGTTTGTCTTAGAACATCATCAAAACCTTAACCTCATCGTCAACCCGCCTACCAGGGGGGAAGGAATTTTTAGCAATGGAGTTTAACAGCCCCATTTCTAGCAATATGCCTTATTAGGTCGACCTCCACTTGGTTCCCCCTAGAAACCATCGTAAACAATTCTTGTTGAATTCGTCACGATGGGCTAACTGACATGCTTCATCCTCACCTATCATCCTTCACTGATGCCCCGCCGGTGTATACCGATAGCGCAGATGGGGTTACCATTCCATTATCACCCATTAAAAAAAAACCACTTACCAAACATAACAGTTTTTTTTAACAGTTTGTGATTTCTGTCTCTGTCTTTGAAGCGACAACTTTCTCATCTTTTTGTATTTATATCGGTGAAATTTTAACTGTGTGTGTGCGTGTTTTTTTCTATTCTCTATTGGTTTTATTAATGTTAGGACTTCCTTATTCGTTAGTTTTTCTGTCCAGCTTATCCATTCCATTCTCCTCTACACTGTCCACATTTCGAATATCTGTTTTTCCTTTAACGTCATTGCCCATGTTTCATACCCATATGTATACCATAATGCTATGCTCCAAATATAAGTATTTTTTTAAATTTTTTAAAGATTATTTTTGATAACTACATGAGACAGATAAAAGAAACACTAGGTGTCATGTCGTATAAGGAGGTCAAAGATATGACCTGGGACAGAACTGTTTGGAAGAAGATGCATGAATTAGCTGCACCGACAAGAGGAAACTCTTAAATGATAAGAAGTATTTTTTTATGCAGAATACCATATACTTGCAAGTGTAAAATTCCCATGTCGCTACCAATAAATGACATATCCAATTCCCATGGGAAAATTCAAGGATTTGCCGCGCGAGCGATGTCGCGAGCACAGCCAGTGGGTAATAAATGTGCGCTCCCAGAGAGTTGGCGCGTCTTTAGGTGACAGTATGATGCATCGCATGCCGCCAAAGAATATTGCACTTACATTCTTCTAAAGCAAGAGTTTGTAAAAAGAAATTGCCATTCTTTATGTAACGACCTTGGTAGCGTAGTGACTTAAGTCGCAGGTTCGATTCCCACAGAATACAAATATTTGTATAATAATACGAAACTTAATAAAATTCGCTTGTCTGTATTGGTCTGGATTAGACAGGAGTAATATATTGGAATACGAGGCGAAAGGGATTGTTAGTGATGGAGACAGAATCCCATTGCTAGCAATATACCCAACCAGGTCGACCTCCTCGCGGTTCCCCTTGGAAACTATCATGGTTAATTCCTGATGAATTCATCATGATAGGCTAACTAGCCTGTTTTCATTCTCATCTATTACCCTTCACTGGTGCTCCGCCAGCGTATCCCGTTAGCGCAGGCGGGGTTACCATACCATTTTCACCTATCAAATATATATATATATATATATATATTGGAATACTGATCCGATATCTATATATTGGGTTCCTGTGGACAGTAATGATAAAAAAGGTCATTGCCCATTTCGATATCGCCCATATCAGTCGGATATCTATTTTCGAATATATTAAAAGTCTGTTATCCAAAATTATTTTTCGAATAACAGTCTTTCAACATGTTTGTTATTGAACCAATATACCGATATTGTAACTAATATATATAGATATTTCTATATATTACCTACCCCTATTCTGGATGTTTTTATACGTTATATGTAGTTATGTATTTAAGTATTTTCTATCAATGTATCTATTATGTAAGTTCTATTTAATTTAGGAATAAATGGTGTTATGTAATATGTCTAAGGGTATTAATGTATTTAGGCTAGTTATATGGCAAGACTGGGATCGCCATTGGTTACCTTTTCAAACCGATTTATGAAGTTTTTTTTTTATTGTATCGGTATTTTACCACGTTCACATCTAACGCGTTGTTTGTAAGGAAAAAAGGGATTATTAGTAATGCAGACCTCTAGTCTTGCTAGCAATATACCCTAGCAGGTCGACCTCCACGTGGTTTCCTGGAAACCATCGTGCTGAATTCCAAGTGTCTTCATCACGATAGGCTAACTGACCTGCCTGATTTTCATCTATCATCACTCACTGGTGCCCCGCCAGTGTATACCGTTAGCGCAGGTGGTGTTACCATTCCATTATCATCCATTAAAAAAACGCAATGTTTGTTATTATTTTATCACAAGAATTTAAGTGACAGTATAATGCATTGCATGCCACCAAAAAATAGATACTGTGCGTATATTCTTCTCAAAGCATGTAAAAAGGAATTACACTTTCTTATTTAAGCTCCCGTGGCGGGATCGTAAAAATAGAATCTTTATAAATTGATGGCGTCCATCACTGTTTCTTGTTTCCTTTTTTAAACCGAGTTACTAGGTTTTTAACATAGCTCTATTTTTGCATTGTTGTTCGATACTTCAATATCTTCACTATTATTGAATCAATTTCTATATATTTTTGTTCCTATATTAGTTTGCTTAATAATTATTTGTTGGATTTTTTAAAACAATTTTCATTTTTATTGACAAAACGAAACACAATATTGACGTATCTAAACCTTTTTAATTAAAAATGAAGTTAAAATAATTTCCTTTTTATGATAGGGATCGCTCTTTTTCTCATGGGTGTCGTAAAAAGCAACTAAGAGAATTTAATGGACAAGGAATGAGCAGCAGTGTATTAAAAAATCATCAAAAGCCAAACTGCGATTGTCAATTGGTCTGTCAAGCGTCTTGCAACTTCTTGCAAATTTCCCCCAATATTAAACTGCTATAAGGAACGCTCGCATTTCTTGTCTTTGGGAAAGCCTATGTTCAGCAATTGATAAATAACGACTAAAATGTTTTTATATATGTTTGTATATGATAATATTTATATAATAGTGCGCCACCTACCCTTTGTCTTTTTCTCAATGTCCTCTACCCAAAGGTTGTCTGGAAGAGATTGCTTAAAGCGATAAGGCCGCCTTTTGTATCACTTCTCATTAATATTTACTGTATTTGTTATTTCTCTTTTTACTTGGTGCAATAAAGTGTAAATAATAATAATAATAATAAAATGATATGGATAACGTACCTATTTATTCACAAAAATTATATCAAGATAGATTTTTAGTTAGAATAAAGAAGTATGATGTAAATGCACTATCAACATACATTGCAATACTAAGCTAATAGGTTAAATGATTGATAAAATATACCCTGAAAATACAAGACTCGAGTTGCTCTGATATTGAAAATGGATAATCCGACCGAGTGGAAATGTCACGTACGCGGATTATAACGTAATTAGAGTGATAGGAGAACGATACAGGTACCTACAATGTACGCGGATTGGAGAGACGTCAACGATGTACAATTTTAATTAGTTACTTATTCGATTTAGCAGTCATAAAATTTAAATATTAACGGTTTTCTTTACCCTTAATATGTATAAATTAATACATTTTTATCTCAATTATTTATTTGTATTAAACGCGTCGAAATTTTAACTCTGGAGTAAATTCTGAAGTATTATTTTCTATATTTAAAATACAGCATAGAATGGGCCACCCCTTCCTCTCCCGTGGGTATCGTAAGAAGCGACTAAGGAAGGGCGAGGGATGGGTAGCAACATGTCTCTTAAAATATCTCCAAAACCTAACTGCGGTTGTCAATCTGTCAGCCAAACGTGGCAACTACTGGCAAAACCCCCCAAGGGGGAGGCTATTGATCAGCAGTGGACAGCTAAAAGCTGATATGATGATGATGAAAATTTGATAATGATATTACAGCGCAATAATTATCCTAAGGACTAGTATAAACTTTTTAGTACAATTTGAAATATTTTAGTAGAATTTCGTTTAAGAATTGTATTGTAATCTTAAATGAAATATTATAATAAATTTTAAATTAAATGTGTTAACCAATTTTAAAATTAATATTTTAGTATTATTCTTGTTACTATGGCACATACATGAATGGAAAATTTTTTTTACTTCTATTATATATTTTGTTTTTTTTTTTTGTATATGTATTATTTTATCTCTTCTTACTGTATATGTCTATGTCTGTCGTTATTTGTGTGCTGTAAATAATGCAAATAAATTATGTATCTATCTATCTATTTATTAATATCCATTAATTAAGTATATTTTTATTTTTGTAAATGTTTAGAATGCTTAATCGATTTTAAAATGAATGAGATTCTCAATTCATCTGTACTTTTTTATATATGTTACCCGATTTTTTTGCCAATTTAAAACCGATTTTGATAAATCTTTTGTAATAGATTTTACTCCCCTATATTAGTCCCATCTGTCTCTTTTATTTGTCCCCATTTGGCTATTTAGACTATACACATTGTGCAAGGGGCTTGTTTGAATCGATTCCGTATGTTGGATGAGCATTTGGCATTCCATTGTTTCTGCCTACCCTAATGGGAAACAGGCGTAACAGATAAATTCAAATATATATTTATTCAAATGAACTCGTTTACAAGCTCTTTTAAATCGTAATTTTTTTTTTATTCTACTACAGGGTTTGGGCAGTTATTTATTAAAAAGAGCCCGCAAGAAACTCAACAATTACTTTTTTAAATCTCTGTTAGCACATGTGTATATATTATAAATTATAATAATGTATATATGTACCTATGTTATGCACAACTACTATAAATACATACACTTGGAAATTAAACCCATCTGCTTTTTTTACACTGGTAAAATTATTTTCATAATATTATGTATATGTATAATATACCATAGTATATATATATATATATATATATATATATGCCAATATATATATTTCAGGTTTCAGCTGCTTCCATATACAAGCTATTATATACCATCATCCCAAACTCGACTTGATTTATCGCAAACATAAAATCTTACGCGAGTCGTTAAATAATTCTGGGATACTTACGCAAATATTGCCCTCAATATGTCATGAACTAATGATTTCCCAGGAGGAGCCAAGTACACCTTCGCCTCGCATACGCTTTTGAGGATACAAGCCCGTCCGTTCAGGTTGTGGCTAAATATATAAAAATAATTCCCTTTAATTTAATACATTTAAAAATTTAAAAGTTATTTATTATTTTAAATTGACGTGAAAATTAATAATATATTTTAACGTAATTAGATTCTAAGATAAAAGAAAAAAATGCTTAAAATAAGAAGTGAGATTGATTCCGAGAAACTGTCCCTGCACAAAATAAAATAAAATCTAATCAAAATAATGTATAAATAGCAAAATTATTCATTTCTTTTATATGTAACTTCTTATTTGTTGTTTGCCAAACATATATTCATTCATTCATTTCAGCCATTATCCGTCTACTGCTGGACACAAGCCTCCCACATAGACTGCCATAAAGAACGGTCCTGAGCCACCTACATCCACTAACTCCCTGCAATGCATTTCAGGTCGTCAATCCATCTAGTGGAGGGTCTTCCTACACTGCGTTTACCCGTACGCGGTCGCCACTCAAGAACCTTTCTTCCCTATCAGTTGTTGACTCTTTGATCTATGTGACCAGCCCATTCTCACTTCAGCTTGCTTATCCTTCGGGCTATGTCGGTTATTTTGGTTCTTTTGAGGATATCCTCGTTTCGAAATCTATCACGCAAAGAGATTTCGAGCATAGCCCTCTCCATAGCCCGCTGAGCGACTTGTAGCTTTTGCATACGGGCAATCTCTCTCCCATAAGTCATCACTGGCATCCAGTGATTGCCAAACATAATATATATATATATATATATATATATATATATATATATATATATATATATATATATATTTATATTTACACCAACTTTAAAAAGAAGGAGGTTCACAATTCAGTTATATATTTCTGTGAATATCAATTCAGTAGTTTAATTTTGAAATCAAATAACTGGTCTTGACTCAATTGTAGTCAGTTTTTTTGCTATAATCTTTATTTAATATTCATAAATTTTTTAAACTATGACACAGTATATAAACTGACGGCTTAACAACATCATGAACACGACAGAATGTGACGCCCAAATCTAAATATATTTTGTACTAGTTTTTACTTACATACGTAGCTTCGCTCACTCTTAACTTTGATTTGAACCAAGAGCCTAAATCTAACATTACACGTGTCTAACTTCTAAACCTACGAAATTCCATACAAATTTTCACCCCCTTTTACTCTCTTAGAGGGTGAATTTTCGAAAGTCCCTTCTTAGAATTCAACTAAGTTATTTAAAGAACCTGTCTACGAAGTTTTAGAATTCTAGACTCAGCGCTTTGAGCTGTGCGTTGACATATAGGTCAGTCATTCAACAGGCATCCGCTTTTACTCATACATGTACATACTCAATAATCACATTTTTGGAATTAAATGTTAAATCCCTTAATACCCTGAATTTAACTGCAATATTCCAACCTTCTACCGTAAAAGGACAATGCAAGCACAATCGCTTCACGCTAGAAACACCAGTGAGACAGAGGTACCCAAGAAAACGACTTTTATACAAAGCATTCTTTTATAATTAAAAATATTGGCAACGCATGAGTTATTTTGATCTTGCAAACATTCATTATCAAATACAAATCGTGCACTTGATTACCTCTCGATTATATGGAAAAAATACTTACAGATTTATGGCGTTCTCCATTCCCTCCCATAATTGTCGTATCTGTCGACGGTGTAACTTCCTTCTCTGATGTTTGAGTGTGAAGTTCGAATCCGGTAGTGGAAACATGACGTCTATTTCCAATGCTATATTCCATCCTGATGGTGCGTGGGTCATTATTGCCTTAACAACTGACATGGTAAGCTGAAATATTTTAAATAGTAAACAGAACTTCATTATAATATTAATTTTTAAATATAGCAGTGAAATTACAGGGTACGAAGACAAGATCTTAGTCGTCAGGAATGGCAAAACACGAAGGGTATCACGAGTGACACAGTATACTCTGTTATGTCCATGATACTATTTATGTCTATATAAATAGGCGACGATTAAAATTTTCCTTAAATGGACCGTCGGCTTGTTTTCCATTCTAAGTGGTATAAATTTCATGACTTAAGGTGCTGATACCTCGCCAGCGTAAACCATTGTAACAAGACGAGTATGTGACCAAGAGGAGAGTAAACTATCCCAATCGTCTATCAGCTTTTAGCTGTAAACAAACTGATAGCCTACTTGATGGAAAGTGGTAACCGTCGACTATAGACATGAGCAGTACCATGGATATAACAGAGTATACTGTTTCGCCCATGATACCCCCTGTACGCTACCATTCCTGAGGACTCAGGTGTTATTCCTCTGTACCTTGTAAATTCACTAATATATCCTATCCTTCAAACCGAAACACAGTCATGCAAATACAACTGCTTTATGGTAGAAACACGAATGGGACAGAGGTGCCCAAGCGAACGACTTTTCTACAGTCTCCCTCTTGTAATATAAACTAAACTGACCTGAACCGATTTAAATATCATATTTAAGTATCCTTTCACATTTAAAATATTGTAAAATTTAACATTTTACAAAATTATTTTCCAAATCGATTTATAACTGACGGAGTTATAAAGTAACAAACATAAAAAAGATACGACTGAATTGAGAATCTCTTTCTTTTAGTACTTAGTTGAAATTGCAGTCTAATTAAAAATTAAAACAAATTTTAAATTATTCATACGAGTATTATAAAAACTGACTCTCACACATAAATTGACAACAATTTTTATAATCATAAAAAAAAAGAAATTACAATCATATTGCTTCTGTCTGGAAATACAAGATGTCTCCTTTTTCTTGATAATTCTATAGAATTCCTCACATTTGGACAGGCCTCTTTTGTTTTCACAGTTTCACATACAATTGTCAAGAACAAAAACAACACTGAGAAGAAAACGAGCAGGCGGATTCTCTCGTGCATTTCGATTTATATTTCACTTACTTATAAGTAATATTATGTTCATACACATACAATGTTGTACCTACATTGTAGTAAATCACGTGATATCACGTGCGTTGCATCGGTAGTTGTCTTTAACAGGTCTTCACATGTTTTCGTTAGATTTATATAGATAATCCCTTCTGAAATTTATTTCTCATAGGTACTTTGTTTTATTGTTAATATTACTTTTAAACTTGGTTTTAACTATTTCTTTCTCCCTTTTTTAGTATTGACTTGTCACATTTTTAATCATTCCAATCCATACTAAAGTACCTGGAAAAAATCACTATTTAGCGATAACGCCTATTGTTGCCTCTTTAACTTGCTTTTATGTAATTAATTATTAATAGTATTTGCGTCATTTTCAAAAATGTAATAAATCACTGATAAAAGCCCTTAGGCCAAAAAATCACTGATGGTGGATGTAACACGAATCTCAATACACTACAGTGACTGTTTACCATCAAACGGGCTGTGTGCTTATTTGCCATCTTTGTGGTATAAAAAAAGAGACAAAAAATCTATCTAAATAATAATTTTATCATGGACATAATTTTTTTTTATACGACTTAGAATGGCAAACAAGCTGGCGGCCCACCTGATGGAAAGTGGTAACCGTCGCCTATAGACATGAGCAGTACCATGGACATAACAGAGTATACTGTATCGCCCATGATACCCCCATGCGTTGCCATTCCTGAGGACTCAGGTGTTATTCCTCTGTACCCTGTAAATTCACGCCATATCCCACCCTTCAAACCGAAACACAGCCATGCAAACACAACTGCTTCACGGTAGAAACACGAATGGGATAGAGGTACCCGAGCAATCGACTTTTGTACAAAGTCTCCCTCTGGTGAGAATATTCATACAAAGACTATTTTATCAAGAGATTCTTTGAGCTTGTTTAATAGAATCATTCTGAAACATTTCCCTCCTTTCGTGCGCAGTTGAATAAATTATTTATGGCGTTTAATGCAGCACTTACCATAACCTGTTATAGATGTTTTTCATCGTAGTTATAAAATAATAAAATTAAATTATATAATATATTATAATGTAATATAATAAAATTGTAACTAGAAGATGGTACATGGGAGATGTTTACGAAAAAAAATTATAAAAGCAATAGAATTTAAAACAATATTTTTTAGAAATTTTGTCTGTCTGCTTGTATGTTTGTTCCGATATCACGCAATAAATACTCCATCAAATTGGATACAGTTTTCACAGTTATATTCTTCGAGGTCTACTTTAAAATCTGGTATATGTTTATCTTGATATACTATCTAGAAATAGTCTATGTAGTTATTTATTCTACAATTAAAATACTAGAGTACCTACGAAATAACGGGAAAAAAGCTAATAAATAATAGATTTAGTATTAACATAACAATATCCACACTAAACCTACCTTGCCGAGAGATTCTTGAACTTGTTCAGTGACCCGGGATGTTTGATCAAAGAATTAGACTGCGACAGCTGCCCCCCCTCCCCTCACTCATTAGCTTAGTCACGTTTCACACCATCTTGACATTTCTACGTAAAGCTATTCAAATTTCGATTCTCTCGCTTTGATTTAAAGATATTATTTCAATAAATGTGTTCACTACAAATCTATCGGATTGTATTGTTTTGCAATAATTCATGCAAATCAGTAAATTATATTACCAAATATTCGACATTCTCCATTATGTGAATTGACGTCATTCTAATATAGATTTTTATATTTCATTTCTAAAATATACAATTACGCCTAAGGGAATTTTCTTTATATAATTTTCTTGTCCTTATTTTAGCGAGCTTATTTTCACTGGGAAATACTTTTGTGTAAGTTAATATATATATATATATATATATATAGTAGCTTTTAAAGGCTGTATAAATGTAAAACAACACCGCATCCCTGAACTCTCACATTTAATCTATTATACTTAATGTCTCTTATTAAAATAATTATACCTTCGTTGTGACTTCTGTAATCGCTGTTTTTTTTTTATTTATTTTATACTACGCATTTTTATCGTGAATTTGAAATTAATTTCAACCGACTTCAAAAAGGCAGAAGTTCTCAATTTGGGTGGACTTTTTGTTTGTTACCTCATAACTTTCTCACAGTTCTAAACCGATTTAAAATTATTTTTTATTTGAAGGGATATACTTACAGATTGGTTCCATTGATATTTTATCAAAGTTGTTTAAGTTTACCACAAAGTGATTTACAGGGCACAGAGAAATAACACCTTACTCCTCAGGAATAGCAACGCATGGGGGGTATCATAAGCGAAACAGTATATCTGTTGCCCATGGTACTGCTCATGTCTATAGGCGACGGATTACTACGTTCCATCAGGTGGGCCGTCAGCTTATTTGTCATTCTAAGTTGCATAATAAATCTTAAGTATGATGATTCACTTCGCAGGTTTACATGCGTTTTGGACTCAACTACCTGGCCCTCCACGCCGCCACCAATTTGAGCCTTGTAGTAAACATGACTAGCTTCAAGTGATTTGAATATATCTCCTTCTTTTTAAGAATTTTCTCTTGTCCATACAAATAATTTATGCATTCTCCTCCAGCCAGTTCTATTTTACGCCATATCTTTGACCTCTCTATACGACATGACGCCTAATGTTTTACTTTATCTGTGCCATGTAAATAGTGTCTCAGTCTTCCAACTTCCCCTTTTGCTATCTAATTTTTCTTCTAATATGGTTTTTAAAAAAATATTACGTCATATATGGTGGCCCATTAAGTATAGTAGAGTAAAGAAGTAGCATTTTGCTTCTTCTATTCTCTATTCTTTACCACCAAGAGCACAATTTACATCAATACACTATTTATTTTTTAATTACTTATTTACTCATTCCTCATTCAATCATTCGCTCATTCAATCATTCATTCATTCACTCATTTATTTACTTATTTAGTATTCAATGTATGTGACAGTCAACTGTAATTGTGACTGTAGTCATTAATTAAAAAACAATGTACATAAATTAAATTGAATATTAGAAGTATTATAGTAATCATAATAAATATAACTATATTACAATTAACAATATCAAGTTAATTCATAATATATACATTTACGTTATATGGATTACGTTATACAGATATTTATTTACGTTGATCACTAGACAAAAGTCATTAAGTCAATAAGTAATAACATTTTTTTCAATAAAAAAGAAAGTAGTTTAAAATTTAAAGAATTAAAATTATATATAATTTTCAACTAGACAATTAATTTATTAGATAACACTACCGCGTGACGTGTACCGTGTTTGACAATGTTTATGAAATAAAATGAAATGAAATGAAATGAAATGAAATGAGATGAAATGAGATGAAATGAGATGAAATTAGATGAAATGAGATGAAATGAAATTAAATGAATTTATTTTGCTAGAATGCAGGTAATTTTAGTTGATAGAGGTTTATATTTCCCGTGTACATTCTGCCTCTATGTCGGCGTGCAAATTTATATATATATATATATATATATATATATATATATATATATATATATATATATATATATATATATATATATATATATATATATATATTCTACATTATATTTCCTTTCCTTAGTTATACAATACATTATTATTTTTTATTCAATATATTATTATTTAAACGAGGTATCAAGCTAGTACTAACATCTTTCCTGTACTGTAAAGCTGTAATGAAACAGAAATAAAACCGCAGCGATCCCATCGAATATTTTATTAGTTATCATACAATTGGAGGCCGTGCAGGTCCTCACATTGTGGATACTCGACTGCGCAGTCCCCATCGGTCCCATGAGCGTCGTCGTATTGCCTGTGTGTAGCGCTCGCGAACTCGACGCCTCGCGGCAATCTAAACAATAGGACACTTAATTCTATTACGACTATACGTTAAGATTTTTCTGCTTTGGTATAAAAATTGAAAAGATTACGATAGTAAATTAGAAATATAAATTACCAGGTGTTTCTGTTTGAAAGGTGGGATATGGCAGTGAATTTGCAGGGTACAGAGGCATGACACCTTAACATAGTTCTCAGGAATGATAACGCATGATCATCTTCTTGGGTACCTCTGTCCCTATCGAGTTTCTGCTGTAAAGCAACTGCTTTACATCCAAACACAACTGTGTTTGCATGGCTGTGTTTCGGTTTGAAGGATGGGATATGGCAGTGAATCGACAGGGTACAGAGGTATAACATCTTAGTCCTCAGAAATGGCAACGCATGGGGGGTATCATGGGCGAAACAGTATACTCTGTTATGTCCATGGTACTGCTCATGTCTAAAAGCAACGGTTACTAGTTTCCATCAGGTGGGCCGTCAGCTTCTTAGCGATTTTATGTTGCGTAAAATATATACATATATACGAATAGTTAATTCCAAACTTTTGGTTTGTTTACACATATTTTTAAATACACAATAGAAATACACATGTTTTTAAATCGCGTTAAGTCCCAATTGTGTATATATATATATATATATATATATAATCTGACTATTCCAGCTTCGCTCGGGGGTTCTTAAGAAAACTACACTTCACAACTTCTTTACACACAAACTTTTCTTTTATACAAAACTTGTTCTGCCAAATACAATACACGACAAGTTCTGAAATGATTGATTTAAAACTATTTATGCACAAAATTGATGTATACATAGAGTATTGTATTGTTTACACAATGTGCAATTGCAAAAAGCTATTTTATCGTTACAAGCTATCTCTTACAGACGTGCGTGTGTGCGTGCGTGCGTGCGGGCGGGCGGGCGGGCGTGCGTGCGTGCGTGCGTGCGTGCATGTTGTATATATAATTAGAGTTTAGGATTTTATAGGAATAGTTGTCATGCTTGGCAGACGGTTTGGCAAATAGCAATATATATGTAAAATGAATTAGTTTTGTGTGTATTCATCCAGTTACAAAATAGTTTTTAATTATAATATCATATGAATAATTGACTCATTTGTACTCGTATTACGGGTGATTAAATGAAACGTGATATGCATTATATATGTTTTACATATAGGTAGGTATAATTTCCTTAAACTATTTTTCCATTATAAAATAAATAATCAATTACATCCATATTATTGTTTCCAATTAAATTTATTGTGAATTTAAAAATATTAAATATACACATGAAGCTAGTATAAATGTCCAACTTCATTTATAAATATTAGTGGCTAAAGAACGTTACGTTTCGAATTTTAGTTCCGAGCTTAGCAAAGTTATTAATTATTCATTGGAATAAACCCATTTTCCAAGGCTCATTGCACTAAGCCATGCCATCCAAAGACGATATCTATCGCGTTATAAAGTTTTCTCTCTGCTAATCTCTTACACGGATTACTGATAGTGTAAAGATCCTTTTTAGATTTAAAAATAGAAGTGACTTTAAACATTTTTTTTTTATTGTTATCTAGCTGTATCCTGCGGCTATATCCAAATGGAGAGGATAGAGAGAGGAAGGAGAGGATATTACCAGAGGGAGACTTTGTACAAAAGTCGTTTGCTTGGGCACCTCTGTCCCAATAGTGTTTCTACCATGAAGCAGTTGTGTTTGCATAGCTATGTTTCGATTTGAAGGGTAGAATGTGGCAGTTAATTTACCGGGTACATACGAATAACACCTGAGTCCTCAGGAATGGCAACGCATGGGAAAGTATCATGGGCGAAACACTACACTTTGTTATGTCCATGGTACTACTCATGTCTATAGGCGACGGTTATCACTTTCCATCAGGTGGGCCGTCAGCTTATTTGCTATTTAAGTTGTATAAAAAAAAATCCGTATGCATCAATGCATAAAGTATCCTATGTATTAAGGATATAATCAAACCGTGTACCAAATTTTATTCAAATCCGTTTAACAGTTTTTACGTGAAAGAACAACCAACATCCATCCAGGTGTTCATAGGCTACGGTAACCACTTACCATCGGGTGGGCCGTATGCTTGTTTGCCACCTCAGTGGTATAAAAAAAATCCATCCGTTCCTCAAACTCTGTAAGGATAGATAGATGGTAGATGAATAAATGTATATATATTTGTTTCTCCTTCACGCAAAAACTACTAAACAGATACAGCTAATGTTATAAATGTAAAATTTCATTAAGATATATCTATGTTTGTTACTCAATCACGTTTATATGGCTGAACAGATTTTAATGAAATTTTGGTACGCAGATAGATTATATTTTATATTAATACATAGTATACTTTATAATCCAATTTCCGCAGGAAAAATTGCAGGAAATATCTACCATTTTTATAATCCTTAGCATTTTGTCCATCTGTGTACCGAAATGTAAGCGTATTTGAGTAACAAACATCCAAACATTTTTATAAACTTCCATGTCCTACTTACGTAAACGTTGCCCTCATAATCTCATCCAAAAACGTTCCTTGTGAATTTTTCCTTTTACCAGATTCGCATAAAAATCGCAAAATACACTCTCTGCCATTCCAGCCAAGCCTGAAACGTAGATTTAAAGATATTTATTTTATTTATTTGTTCATTTATTCAATTCAGAGTTATAACATACTTACAAATCATATTTAATATAATAAATTCGTAAGTTTGTGACGATGCATTGATAAATTTTTGTTACTCTTTCACACAAAAACTACTCAACGAATTTGAATGAGATTTAGTACACGGTTACATTATATCCTAACTTAGTACATAGGATATTTTATGTAGTTATCCTAACCAATTTTATAAATGTGAAAATGACTTTGTTTCTTTGTTTATTACCTATAAAAAGCTAGTAGGAAGATAAAATGAACTCACCCATCCAACAACGTCTCTAGTTTTTCATAAAGATCTTTCCTTCCTCCTCTATGGAACTCTATGCTTGATTCGTCTATGTTATTTAAGTAATCTCTTCTTTTTTGTGCATTATGCATATCAATAATAGAAATCTTCCTTTTATTTTCTTGTATGTTATCTACACTGCGCTTAGCGAATGCAGGATTCACAATAGGTTTCCTGGAATAAAATACAAAGGTAAATGGAACGTGTGACATGGTTTTAAAAGAGCAATTTTCTGGAATACCAGCAGTATTATTGTCTTCTTGTTTGGAAAAATGTATAAATAATAATAATAATCTAATTTCTCAAATAATTTAATACTGTTTAATTGTAATATTTTTGATAATTTGTAATTTTTGGTTAGTAATGACCAAAGATTGATTACTGAAACAGTTTCAGATGAGTTTTATTCTGCGAACTCTCAGACAGTGAAATGAGCTCCCTGCTGAGGTTTTCCCTAGAGACTACAATATGGGGTTCTTCAAATTGGGTACATTAAGATTTCTTCAGGGTTGATAACGAGCAGGAAACATATCTAGTGTTGGGGGCGTAGGCTATAGTGACCGTTTACCATCTTTGTGCTATAAAAAAAATATAGATAACATATATAATAATAGCAGAGAAATTAAAAATTAACCATTTGCGACTCATCGTGTTATATTTTGGGTTTCTTTTAAGTGATCAAAATGTAATCTCGTCACCGCGGCAATGACGATTGATAATTATCATGATGAATACACTAGAAATGGTATATTCATTTCATTGCATAATGGACGCTGATTTCCAGAAACAGCTTATTATCAAGAAGATTTTTTCTTCAGAGATAGATTTTGTAAAAAAGTCAACCATTTGGCTATCTCTGTTTTGCTCGTGTTTTTTAGCAAATAGCTGTACTTGGATGGCTGTGTTTCGTTTATAATGATGGAATATAGCAATAATATCACACGATACAGAGGTTTAGTACCATAGACTTTAGGAATAGGCGACGTGCTGAAGAAAGGCCAAATTAAAAATACCCGTAACGGGCGAGCGTGTATGAAAAGATTGATAAATGTGGAAGAAGCGAAAGAGGTTTGTTTGAATCGAAGCGTTTGGCGTTCCATTGTTTCTGCCTACCCTAATGGGAGACAGGCGTCAATCTGTCAAGGCATATCTGTCAAGATATGTATGTATGTACTTTAGGAATAGCAAAACATGAGGGGTATATTGGGCATCACAATGTTGGATACATTGAGTCAGGTAGACCACCATCACACATGTTAATCCTAACCTCAAAAAAAATATTTACTTTTTATCTTACCTTTTATATGGTACTTTACCAATAACTTTACCGTATTCGTCCAAATAGTATATGTGCTTCGAAATATCTTGTCGTCTATTAGACTTATATCCTTTTTCGTACTTTTTCAAGGAATATAAAAATTTTGGATCTGTAGGTAATTCCCACGCTAACGCTGCTGTATTACCAAACCACATTAGGTGAGCAATTGGTAGATAGCCCTGATTTTGAGCACAAAAGACTAAAAATAATACAAAATAAATTAAAAAATGTGTACAATTTTATTAACTTAGAGGAGTTTGGTATTCATGTTTATAAGTTTGAACATATGTTTTATGACCTGAATGGTTTTATGGCCTTATTAAGGTTATTTATTATAAAAGGTCTTATGTTCAAATTGTACGATAAATCTGTGAAAGAAATCTTTGCCATTTTTAAACCGATTTTAATGATTCTATATGCGTTCAAAAAAATTTACTCCTATGTTGGTCCCATGTTAATTTTACCACGATTAATATATCTATTTTTTTCTTTATAACTACCTGTGTGTTTTATAGTTAGAACTACCAATCTTCTATACAATCAGCATAAATTATGTTTTTTTTTTTAACATTTTTAAAGTTTATTTAAATACATTAAAATATTGTATTTTTTATTATATATGTATTTTGATTACAATTATATATATGATCTATATAATAAATATAGAGAATGTTGGTTATGATTCATAACCAATGTTCTCGTTTCTCACCGAGAAGGAACAATTCATCCAATTACGTAGTATTGACAATTTTCAGGCAAGAATCTGCAAAGTGGGTCGCTTAATGGAAGTTAATTCAGGGACGAGTTCCTTCTAATATATTTTCTGCAATTTGATTCCATCAAATTTCCTGTTGATAGCAGGACAATTTTATTGATTCTTCTTTAAAATGATAATTATAAACTCCTTTTAGTTTTTGACTTTACCAGTTTACCATACTTTGTACAAAAGTCGATTGCTTGGGTACCTCTGTCCCATAAGTGTTTCAACCGTGAAGCAGTTGTGTTTGCATGGCTGTGTTTCGATTTGAAGGGTGGGATATGGTGTGAAGTTACAGGGTACAGAGGAATAACACCTGAGTCCTCAGGAATGGCAACGCATGGAGGGTATCATGGGCGAAACAGTTGTTCTGTCCGTCTGTTATGTCTGTTATGTCCATGGTACTGCTCATGTCTATAGGCGACGGTTACCACTTTCCATCAGGTGGGCCATCAGCTTGTTTGCCATTCTAAGTTGCATAAAAAAAACTTCATGTATACCCTATTTAAAACTAAACATTTTAACATTTTTAATACAAAAAAGTATTTTTTCATTTAATTTCTAATTCCATTGTTACGCACAGTTAGTTAGTTAGTTTAGTTATAGTTTAGTTAGAAAGAAAGAAAAATCTATAAATTATAGTTTTTTCTTTCTTCCTAATTCAAGATATACGAGTTTGTGTTACCGAAGACAGACAGACAGACTAGTAACCTTCTTACTTGTGCCAATTAAAATAAAATTCAAAAATTATATGTCGCTTCATAGTGACAGTTATTTTTTGTAATAGAAACTAACTAAACTACGCATGACAATGCTGCTATCATGTCAGACTACAAAATCTTTGCGACCACCTTTTTGAACCTAAATACCCATGAAATAGACGCATACAGTGCAGTTTCAAAGGAATTTTCTCTCCGAACACTCACTTGACACAACTGACACTTGCCTTAGATTTTCCCTAGAGACTTCCAAAAAAGTATAATTAAGGTATCTTCAAGGTCGTTAACACGTACGTGACACCCCTAGTGTTGCAAGCGTCTATAGACTACAGTGACCGTTTATCATCAGATGAGCTATATGTTTGCCACCTTTGTAGTATAAAAAAAAAAACAACAAATAACTATTAATTATTAAATATAATATTAAGTTAACTTACCTAATTGAAAGGAACTCCCATCAGGAAACGTCAAATACCTTTTTCTTCTTGATAACATCTTAGAATGTTCAATACCTTCGTATTCATTCATTTCAGTATTGTTTAAACTATATTCTGCAATTTCTGTGCGCACGCAATCCAGAGTTGCAATTAGAGAAATCCAAGTGAAGGTTCTAATTAGCATTTTGCACTGAAAATGTGGTGTTTGATTAATTCATGTTCAACATTCATAACTCATTCACTGTTATAATATCTTTTCACTTTTCGTATAGCTTCCAATTAAAGTAATCGGAAGCTATTCGAAATTCTAATTCTATTAAACGTGTTAAGTACAATAATGTAATTGGAAGATATACGAAAAGTAAAATGATAATTATTGTAACAGTGAGTGAGTTATGAATATTGGATACGTATTAATGAAATTAAGTAAAATATCGAATATATATAATGTGTATATATATATATATATATATATATATATATATATATATATATATATATATATATATATATATATATATATATATATATATATATATATATATATATATATATATATATATATATATCATATTACATTATTGTACTTGACCCGTTTATTAGAATTTTTATAATAATAATTAATAATGAATCTCAATAAATTGATGAGTTAATTAAAAAAAAAGAAGAAGAGAAATTGTCTTTCTCCTTTCTACTTTGCATGTTTGCTGGAAGAGAACTCTTTTAGAGTTACGCTCTCCTTTGTACATTTGCTTACCTCTGATATATTTTTTTGTCAGTGTGTACAATAAATATTAAATACAATACAAGTATATTAAAATAAATAATTTTAATTAAAGTTATTTGTAATTGTAACATTAATTTACTTCACGTAATTTTTTAAAAACAATAATTTATGCTTTAAGAATATGTAAATAAAAAGAACTTTATATATTAAAGACATAAAATATATATAGAATAGTATATTTTTTTTGTAAAATATTTTAAACCTATTTAAGATTCCCGAATCAAAAATTATTTAGGATTACGTATTTAAAAATATTTTCACATCAGCTTTAATATATTTTGCGTATTATAAAAAAATCGGGACTTTAATGAACTTACTATATTTGTCGTTACTAACAATTGCTATTATTGTTTATATACAAATTCTAATTATTTCTTATTATACAAATTAAGACTTTAATGTCATTATTTTTAGATAAAATATAAATATCACTCACCTGGAGTTTCTAAACTTCGGAAGTGGACAACACAGACTGGTAACATTAGCAAGCATACGAAACAAAGGGGTCTTATTTACACAATTACTTGGTCATTCAAAAGACTTCTCTCTGAGATGCTAAACAGTATACTGACATTAATTTGTAACAAACTGTTAAATTAAAAGAATTTTATTTGATCGACAGGTCGATAATGGAGGAAACAAAATGTCCTGTAACTTTATTTTTAGAATGTTTATCTTACTACTTCGCTTCTTACTGTGATAGACTGACTATATCCTATGAAATTACCTGCGTATATTAAAAAATAAGTGACCTATCTGTGTGCGTTATTCAATCAAGAAGTTATGTCAAGATTTTTCTATATAATTCCTAACAAATAATATTAATATAAATAATTAAATGTTAAGCCTTCAAGAAAAGGGCATATACCTTCTTAAAAGGCCAGCAACATACCTGCAATTTGTCTGGTGTTGCAGGTGCCTACGAGGGACGGTAATTACTTACGAGTAATATCAGGTAAGTTGCAAGCTTCTTATGTCATAAAAAAGATATGAATAAATAAATAATTTGTTGGAATATTCATAAAACTTATACGAGTACTTGAAACCATTTGTATAAAATATTTGAATAATCTAATGTATAGAAGCTTCTCATTTAACTTTTGTTTTTTTTTTTCTAATTTAACTTTTATTTATTTTATTTTTTATGTTTTAATTTTTATCTCAAATTGTTGTTGAAAATTTAATGTAAAATTATGTTTCCTTCTTTGTTGCAACCGAATGGCTTTGTTGCTGTTGTATTTATTATTGAATCATGCTGTGTGTACATGTTGCGGCAAGTTTACTTAAATAATATATTATTGTACTTGCAAGTTATGTTTTAAGTTTGTATTTGTAAACTTCTGTTATGTGCACCAAATAAATAAATAAATAAAATAAATATTTAGTTGCATTCTTGCGCATAATTTAGTAGAAAAAAATCTAAACATGATAAACTTCCTGACACTTCATTATTTAGCTTAATTTATTAAGATTTCATGTCTCTTTATATTCTAAATTAAAATAATAATTAATATTTATTACTTCATTGAATTTATTTAAAATATACACAATATTCCAGACTAACACTTAGGATATTTTTACCTCAATGCACATGACCTAGCATATAGCTTATACAAGTCACATTTCATCTAATATAAAGAATTTTATTTATTGTCAATTTATTATTATTATATGTTACATCAGCCTTTAACTGCTGAACATAGGCCTTCTATAGGAGGATTTGTTAGTAGTTATCATGCTTGACAGGCATGTTGGCAACCGCAATCAGAGTTTGGTGATGTTTTAAAAGAAACGCTACTGCCCATCCCGTGACTATTAAGATCTGTTAATCGTCTCTTACGACACCCACGAAAAAGAAATGAGTGGTCCATTCTATGCGTGGATCACGCGACAAATTACTAACACGATTTACAAATCAAAATTGTGTCGATTTAGAAACGAAATATATATATTTAAAATTAATAAAAATATATAATCGACATGAGAATCTGCGAAAATCTAGTCTTTTTAAATGTTTATAAAAAGTATAAATTTTGATAAATTGTTAAGATGAATTTATACAATAAATCATTACAACAACGAGCATTTGCAAATCTCACATTGTGCGTTAAATTTAACAGGATAAAACAAATTAAAACTGATTAAAGTAGTTGGTGTAGTACTTCCGCAAACTCCTAGTCCAATTTTATAATTGAGTTACACTTCACACGACGTCCATTCATTAAGATGCAGAGGGAGGATTGGTGCAAATTCGGATATATGTCTCACCTATTTTTGCAGTCTTATTGCATGCTGAGTTCTGATTTAAAGGATGACACTTGATACTTTTTAATTAATGTAAATAGAATGCCCGTGTTATTAGATTACGACAGAGTACCAATGAGGGATGATAGGTGATAATGAAATCAGGTCAAATGATTCAACGTGATTGGAGATTGTTGAATTATAAGCATTATGAGTCTTACTATATTGTGATTATTTATGTTGGCTTTACTAAAGCTTTAATTAACGGATACCTGACTACTTTTGGAACTCAGTATTCCCTCATTCATGAGCGCGGTTTATGGCTATGTTGGGAGCAGCACTGATTGTGAATGGAGATATTGGAACTGATTCTGTGTCATCATTCCCTAAAGCTATCCCTGAAATTTATATTTTAATTCGATAGTTTCCTATATCAGGAATAATATTTTATGGACTGTAACGAACTAATTTTATCATTAATTATTATTTTTACAATCAGGCAAGTCGTAAAATGTCAGTCGTAATAAGCCAAATCTTTTTTTGTAATATGGATAAAAAATCATATTACGCCAGCGTGTTTGGAATACACACAGAATTGACTCCCAATGTTATGAATGAATAATGATAATAATTGAATGAAAATAGTTAATCTATAATAAATAATATGAAGAAACTAAAAATTTTACGTTGTACACACGCCTTGCTTGGCTTGTTTCAACGTAAAATTTTTGGTTTCAAGCAAGCAGAAAATCAGTATTTAATTCGATTATCTATGAGATGCAGCCCTAAATTAATCTTGTGAAATGACAATATTCAAATTACTACGAATTCACAGTTTATTAGATTTTCAATTCAAAATCATAACAGCCCGGATACAAAGTGGCGCAATCATTCGTCGGCAAGTGGGCTTGGTCGTAATCTCTGTGTTGTTCTGACGAGAATCCTTTTCCTTTGGGTAATCTGTAAATTAAAAAGAAAACTGTCATAGACTTGTTATGTCAAATTTTGGCGGGCAAAAATATTTTTTTAACTTTTATTTTATTGCCAACTACTTTACAATCAACTTGCTTACGTAAATTAAGATGAAAAATGTGTACCAAATTACTTGCAGTCTTTTATATTCAATCAATTATGTCAGTAATAAGAAAGTATCTAAACAATATCAACATCATCATCATATCAGCCTTTAACTGCCCACTGCAGAAGATAAGGCTTCCCCTTGGGAGGTTTTGCCAGTAGTTACCATTCTTGGCAGGCAGATTGGCAACCGCAGTTAACCTTTGGACACTGCTTCAAATCCCTCGCCGTCCCGTAGTCGCCTCTAACGACACCCACGGTAAAGGAAGGGGTGACCTATTCTATGCCAAGTGTACACGATCTATCTAATCTAAACCATATAAATAAGATTAATCTATGTCACAATTAATAAAATTCTAACTTATTTATTATAATGTATCAAAATATTTAGGCTACATAACGTGATAAATACGCAATACATATAAACATCTTAAAAAATCATTATCCTCCTCTCTTTGACAGTTGAGTAAAAGGCGTAAGTGTACAATAATGATCTCACAAGAAAATTACGTCTAAATAGAACCGCTAACACAAGCGAGTTTAAAATGAATTCCAACAGCAACAACAATCCATACTAACGTGAAGATGACTCTGAGGAATTCCTGTAGGAATGTGCCTTGCTCCGGAGCGAACTGCGCCGCCTCACATAGTTTGTAGAGCACGCACTGGCGGCCATCTTGTCCTAGTCTATAAACAGATTATGAAATATGTGTAAATAATTGTTGTCATAATTCTCAATAATATAGGTTATGAAATATTTTTAAATATGTTTTGTTATAATTCTGAATAATATAGGTTATGAAATGTGTGTTAATAATTATTGTCATAATTAACAATGATATAGGTTATGAAATATGTGTAAATATATATTATTATAATGTAAATATGTATTGTTATAATTCTGAATAATATAGGTTATGAAATGTGTGTAAATAATTATTGTCATAATTAACAGTGATATAGGTTATGAAATATTTGTAAATATGTATTATTATAATTCTGAATAATATAGGTTATGAAATGTGTGTAAATAATTATTGTCATAATTAACAATGATATAGGTTATGAAATATGTGTAAATATATATTGTTATAATGTAAATATGTATTATTATAATTCTGAATAATATAGGTTATGAAATATGTGTAAATATATATTGTTATAATGTAAATATGTATTATTATAATTCTGAATAATATAGGTTATGAAATGTGTGTTAATAATTATTGTCATAATTAACAATGATATAGGTTATGAAATATGTGTAAATATATACCGTTATAATGTAAATATGTATTATTATAATTCTGAATAATATAGGTTATGATGTGTGTTAATATATATATATATATATATATATATATATATATATATATATATATATATATATAATATATATATATATATATATATATATATATATATATATATTTTTAAATTAGCAATCCGACCTGGCTTCGCACGGGTAAATAGTATTTTAGAAAATACGTACCCTATTTTACTATAAACTAATTTGTTTATTTTATTTTTTTACTTGAAAGGATAGACTTACAGATTGGCCCTATAGATATTATGTTAAAACCAAATCTGTAGTTTAGTTTTTAAATCTAAATATCCTATATTTGTAACAATTGAAGTCGATATTTTTTTGGAAAATACCATAATAATATAAACAATAAATAGACATATATGTATCTATGTATTGTAAATAGATGAATATCCAAGCTCTATCTGTTTTTCCAAATCAATCAAATAAATCATAATTACTTCCAGTGATAATTTTGTTATTACCATACATGCATCCTACATGCTTTATTGGTTGAAATGATTTACATTGTCCTTCCGTATAGTAAATTACTGTTACAATGCATATAGCAAAGCATATAGTTCTACCGCATAGCATTGTCGGTCATTACCCCTTTAAATTTTATACTTTTTAATAATCATCGACTTATCAGATGTTAACTGTCCACTGCTGGACATAATTATTTTTTAATAAATTTATTGTAATATTTTTTTATATTATTATTATACAAGCTATTTTCCGTTACTATACCTATGTAATAAATATATAAAATTCTAAACGTTACAAACTATCTGTGTATCAAAATTAATTCAGATCCATTCAGCATTTTAAGCGTAGTTGGATAAGAAACATACCATCATATTTACAAACTTTCACATTCATAATATATATAAATTCTATTGTTTCACATTACCATGCTATTGATGTTGGATTTTTCGAGATACATCGAATTATACTACGATATACAAAAGCAAAATATCATAAAGAGCAGAATAAATATACATAGCGACAGGAGATGCGGATTACGGAATTTCCTTCAGTAAAATACGTTATAGAAAGGAAAATATTTTATAGCGAAGTTATAAAATATTTTGCGATAGTGTTGCCTACTAACATTGGGTAGCGTTTATTAATCGTTGATTCGATTAATACGAATAATAGTAAAGTAATTGATTATATAATCATTATCACAATATAATAATTTAAAATAATTTAATTACAATTTCCATTATTTCTATTATATTATTATTCATATTCTTAATATCTTTATTCATTTAATGACATTTAATAAATTAATTATATTTTAATGTTTATCAAACACAAGGCATGCTGTGGTTGCCTATAAATGTAAGAACAGTAAGATCTAATTTACAAGTGTATTGTATTAAAATGTTTCGCTGTATCTTAGGTTGGTAATTCTATAAATAAATAAAAAAATAATTTATGAATAACTTCTGTTAGAATTGATAAGGCTATGTAATCGATATTATTATTTTCAATTAGCTGCCATTATTATCGATACTACCAAAAGTAAGTATTTCACCTACTATTATCATAATTATTCATTAATTATAATCGAATAAATTACGTTTACTCTACTTAAGGCGCAATTTAATATTTGGTCATCATATTAGTGCTATCGGTTAATTCGATTGATCGATTGACTCGATCCTATCGATATTCAGATTATACTATCAATTAATAGAGAATCGATGTAGGCAACACTACTCAACCATTAAAATACTTGACTACTCACGCTGTGAATAATTTTTCTAATTTCTCAAACAATTCAACCCGACTATTTCTGTGAAACTCGACTGTGCTATCGTCCAAATGGTCTTTTTTCAAGTAATCTCTGGTGAGTTGTTTCCCATGCATACTCATTCGGTCTATTTTGGTTTTTAGTTTTTCCTTGTATGTAATTTGTTCGTCGACGCTCCGCTTAGCGAACGCCGGATTCACTATTTGTTTCCTGAAACAATTTACGCAATCAAAACTCCGTGTTCCATAACTGTATAACTGCGATAGAGCGAAATTAAAATTATTCATGCGTTATTTTTTTTTTAAAAAAATGTAAACTACAATCGTAATAAATACAACCGTAAATTTATTTTTAGGAATGGCAATACATGAACAGTATTGTGGCTGTCAAAGTCTATCAACTGTAAAAACTGCATTCAATTTGGGACAGTTTTTTTTTGCATGATGCTCGAATAAACATACGTACAGACAGATATTCTAAAACTAAGAGTCTAAAATAATTAATTAATGTTTTGACTTCCATTACTTAAATTAAAATCTCTTACATCAGTTTTTCTTAAATACTACAATAGTTGTTTTCCGCTACTTTGCCCACAAATATCAATATAACCTACTCGTGTACCAAATTTCATTCAAATCCGTCCAGTATTTAAAAGGAAGGGATTATTAGTAACGCAAAGTGTCAATCCTATTGCTAGTAATATACCTTGTCAGGTCGACCTCTACGTCTCCTCCCCCCCCCCCTGGAAACCATTGTACTGATTTCGAGGTGTATTTTTATTGCGATGGGCTAACTGACCAGAGGGAGACTTTGTACAAAAGTCATGTGCTTGGGTATCTCTGTCCTATTCGTGTTTCTACAGTGAAGCAGTTGTGTTTGCATAGCTGTGTTTCGGTTTGAAGGGTGGGATATGGCGTGAATTTACTGGGTACAGAGGAATAACACCTGAGCCCTCAGGAATGGCAACGCATGGGGGGTATCATGTGCGAAACAGTCTACTCTATTATGTCCATGGTACTGCTCATGTTCATAGGCGACGGTTATCACTTTTTATCAGGTGAGCTGTCAGCTTGTTTGCCATTATAAGTTGTATAAAAAAAAACCTATCATCCCTCACTGGTGCCCCGCCAGCGAATACCGTTAGGGCAAACGGGGTTACCATTTATTAAAAAAAATCCGTCCAATAGTTTTTACGTGAAAGAATAACAAACGAATAAATATATAAACATCCAAACATTTTTACAAACTTTAACATTTATAATCTCTCTCTTTTTTATTTAAGAGTTTCCTTTTGTCGATGCAACTAATTCATGCATGTTTTTCCAGCCAGCTCTATCCCAGGCCATATCTTTGACCTCCCTATACGACATGACATCTAGTTTTTATAATACATTTATAATATTGTTGTAAATAGCAGGATGCAGTAATAAAACATATACGTATTTGAGATATAAAATAATAAGTTTAGCGAAAAAATACGAGACATGTCTTATAAAAATCTGACATAGAACAAACACTTAAAAATAATACATTGTTCTAAAAAACCTCAGTGTCAACAGCCAGTATTAAAACTTTAACAAATATTAGTAGTAATTTTTTTTTATTTTTTTTTATACCACTGTGGTGGCAAACAAGCATACGGCCCACCTGACATTACGGGGTTACAACGCGCGCGTATACCCGCGGTATTAGGCGCGCGTTGCCGACCCTGAAGAAACCTCTTTACCCCCTTTTGAAGAACCCCATGCTGTAGTATCTGTAGTAATTTTATTATAAAATACAAGTTATTAGTAAATTTAGTATGTTTCTCACCTCTTATATGGGACTTTAGCTATAATGTGTCCATTCTCGTCGAGATAATTTACACTATTAACAATGTCTCCTCTCCTTAATGCCTCTTTGTCGTATTTTTTCAACATATATAAAAAACTGGGGTCCGAAGGCAGGGACCAAGCCAGCGCCGCTGTATTTCCGTATAAAAATATATCGCCTATTGGTATTACTGCTGCTGTTTGTACACATAAAACTGTAAAGATTTTTTTTATTATACATATACAATAAAAGAACAACCTGTATCTGTACCAACAGTACTATTTAGTACTAGATACTGATACAGTTGTTCTTTTTTTTTTCGAGATTTGTTTTTAATTTATCGTAATATAAAAAAAATTCAGGAAAAACTAAATGAGATCCTGTTAATGAATACTGATTCCATATTATAATATTATATAATATATTTAAAGAATGGATTATCTTAATTAACATACGCATAAAGTAAAGCATTCTTATAAATACATGTATTGTGTGTGTGTGTGTGTGTGTGTGTGTGTGTGTGTGTGTCGTGTGTGTGTACGTGCATACGCATTTGTGAGTCTCTGTGTGTGTGTTTTAGTAAAAATATAGTAGATATGATACAAATACACCGAAAATGAAACCCAGAGATGATACTAGTTAGTACCACTATAACATTTGCATACACTTCCGCGCTAATGGCAAACATTAGCCATCTTATTTTATTCATATCGTTTTAGTCACTCCACCCCCTTTCAGTTATTTTACAGTGTAGTGAGATGCCTATCTACACTATTATTTTATTTGGATATATTTTTTTTTATTTCAGTAATTTTCTGAGCATAAAACTTATTCTCGCAACACCGTCATATAATTCTGGATTTATGTCCAATTCGTTTACTGTTACTGCCATAAGTTTCTGGATTAGAATACCTATGGCTCTGCGCATGGCATCGAGTAAGTAAGCTTTTATTTAAAAGAAATCTGTTTAATTATCTATTGAATCAACTAAATCAGCTCTATGTATTAATTATTAGTTATTTTGTTTATGCAACTTAGAATAGCAAACAAGCTGACGGCTCATCTGTTGGAAAATAGTATCCGTTCCCTATAGACATGAACAGTTTCATGAACGTAGCACTGTTTCACTCACGACACCCCCCATGCGTTGCCATTCTTGAAGACTAAAGTGTTATACCTCTGTACCCTGAACCCTGTAAATTCCCTGCTATATCCCACCATTCAAATCGAAATACAGCCATGCAAACACAACTGCTTCGCGGTAAAAACAATGATGGGACAGCGGTAACCAAACTTAAATAGGTATATCATAACATATCTATCACTATATTTATAAAGCGATTTATATATACGTTTGTGTAGGTATGTGCGTGCGTGTGTGTGTGTGTGTGTGTGTGTGTGTGTGTGTGTGCGTGCGTGCGTGCGTGCGTGCGTGTGTGTGTGTGTGTGTGTGTGTGTGTGTGTGTGTGTGTGTGTATTTGTGTCTGTGTGTTTTGTATATATTTATAATATTATCCGGTATGATATTTAGTATCATTACAATTTATAATCATAAATTAGATAAATTTAATTGTTTGTGTACTTTGTGCTCACCACCACTGCCCTAAAACGCTTTCTGTTTTTACCTAATAGTTGGCTGGTTGATAATGAGAATGCCATACGACATTAGGCTCGCCTTTTGTACACATTTTATTGTAAAATAAATAAATAAAACGTAACTGTTACACTCAAAAAATAAATGAAAAAAAATATTTCATCCAACTTCAAAAAGAAGGAGTAAGTTTTCATTTCAATTCTACTGATAACTGAAATATTATAAAAATGCTTAATATACTTAAAAAATCTTACTCCATCTAATACTACACAATATATTTTATGTTGTTAGTTTATCTTATACGAGTAACAAAACGACAAATTAATTCAACAACAAAGTTAAAACGTATAGTGTACTTGATAATTAATTATATTTTTAAAAGTCATTATTATGATAAATTTCTAACTGAATCAACCTTATAGTACATTGTAATTATAATTAATACTGAAAAGTAATAAAAAATACGACTTAATTACTTAAAACTCCACAAGTAACTTAATTACTTCACAATGCATTCAAGGGAGTAATGCCCGTTAATGATAATATTTACTCACCCAATTGGAACGAACTACCATCTGGAAATATCAAATACCTCTTTCTTCTTGAAAGCACTTTTGTCTCGTTTTCTTCGAAATTTACTGTGCAATTATCATTAAGACAAGATGCTTCACTAACCACTGCTTCTAACAATAACAATAATAAGACAAATTTAACGGTCAATTGCATGTTTATTTCATTTAAATACCAACCAAGAGAAATACTAGTTAAATTCGTTCCAAAAAGTTTAATTATAATTCTACAAATGTATCACTGACGACTTTTTTATTTAAAAAGATAACTAGAACTGGCAACATGGGATTCGTAAAAGAAAATGTCGTTTCGAAATTCAAAATTGACACATTGGTTGACTGTCGTGAAACATGATACGTACTGCCCCAACGTCATCCCGTCTTGGGCACCTAAATGAAACACCAATTAACATGCTGAGTGTCAATGTATTTACGGTTATATTCGTGCTTCGATTGCGTAGTTACTTGGAAAACAAAAAAGGAAAATTGTTAGGGTGTGTTCATATGTGTATATAATTTGTTAATAAATTTATAAGACTAAGGTATTGAAAAGATTTTGGTGAAAGAAAAAATACGAATTAAATAATAAATAATATCTACTGGTTTTATTATTAAAACATAATTTATAATAATATATTAATATTATAATTATTTCTTGAACGTTAACAATTTTGACACTTACAGTCCAATATATTACACTTCTGTTCAAAAAATTCACAATGAATCATGGTGCAGTGATAACGAGGACTTTCGCAGAAGATCAATCAGTTTTACCGTTTAGTGCATTTTTTTAAGTTAATTTTTATATTAGGTTATCCTTCGAAGATGCCCTCAAAGGTGACACTGATCAGGTATTTATAATAAAACATTTTTGTGGAAAAGTACAAAGTATTTTCTAATAATATCCATTTATATACGAAGTACCTACTACCAAGTGCTCGCTATCACAATTATTAATATATAGTAGTAATTCTTTTGAAATAAATACAGTTACCGTAGATTGCGAATAAACAAAACAGAATCAAGAATCTCATATTTTGAAGAGCTTCTTACTTTTGTAATATAAACGCAAGAATGCAAGAAATATTTATATTATTAATCCCTCGTGAAAAGTAACAGAACTTTTTCAAGAATAAAATCCTGTCTCTTATTATATTTCTCGAGAAATTTGTATTAAAAATTTATTTCAGATATCTCTTTTTAAATAACACTCGAATATTTATGTGTTTGTTGGTCGAATTCTTCAGAGGCTTCTTCGCATTCTGGATATAATTTCTCACAGGGTTCTGTTGAAGTTACGGCCGCGTCATATTCGCTGTATACCTCATCCTCATTATGCGATTTTGGAAATCTATTAAATAAAAAATGTATAATATAATACAATAGTACAATATATAAAATAAAAATAACGTTAATACAAAGATAAGGAAAATAATAATAATTCATATCTGAAAAGTAAAGACGTAAAATAAAGCAATAATGAAACATTAATAAAGTAAATGTACGTTCGTGTGTGTATATGTGCGTGCGTGCGTGCATGCGCGCGCATGTGTGTTTGCGTGCAAGCGTGCGTCTGTGCGTTCATATATGTGTATATATGTGTGTTAATGCATATGTGCATTAATGCGTACGCATGTGCGTGTGTGTATGTGTATGTGTATGTGTGTGTGTTTGTGTACATGTGTGTGTACCATATATGTAAGAAAACTAGAAGTAGACCTATATATATGTATACTATGTATAGGCACATACAACGTAATAATAACAAACTGACACAAAAATTGTTGATTAAAATCGATAAGCAACAAGCGACTATTATTATTTTAACCCTATTCTGCCTCGTTACTCGACATGTATCCCATACACAAACTCCTCCCACCCATAACCAACTTCCCAACATAACCCTTCACTTTTGTTTTCTAAACTTAGTTCGTTATCTGCACGCATTGTTATGAGACTTCAAAGGAGTTCTCAATTCAACGGTTTTTGTGTCTACGTTATATGATATTTACGTCAATTCTGAACTGGTTTTTATGATTCTTTTTATAACAGGTTTGTCGGCTCATGAATACTGATAGTCTCACGAAAGACTTCTTTAGTTATAAAAAAAAAACTTAATAGTCTTGCCTATACTAATATTTAGTATTAATTATAAAAATTACACTCTTGTCTGATATCTAACTTATAGTTATCTCAGTGCCCCCTGAATATCATCACAATTTAACTCTTGTCGAACCAGAGGGAGACTTTGTACAAAAGTCGATTGCTTGGGTACCTCTGTTCCATTCGTGTTTCAACCGTGAAGCATTTGTGTTTGCATGGCTGTGTTTCGGTTTGAAGGGTGGGATATGGCGTGAATTTACTAGGTATAGAGGAATAATACCTGAGTCCTCAGGAATGGCAACGCATGGGGGGTATCATGGGCGAAACAGTATACTCTGTTATGTCCATGGTACTGCTCATGTTTATGTGCGACGGTTACCACTTTCCATCAGGTGGGCCGTCAGTTTGTTTGTCATTCTAAGTTGTATAAATAAAAGCACAGATGGGATTACAATTCTATTATTATTTCAGCCGTTAACTGTCCACTGCTGGACATAATACATAAGAGGAGTTTTACCAGCAAATGCCACGCTTGACAGACGGGTTGGCAATTCTATTATTACCCATCAAAAATATATTTGTTATTATTATACACACTAAAAAAGCCGCCTAATTGAAAAATTCACATTTTGTGGTTAAAATGTTTAAAATATCTGTTAGTGACGAATAAAATAAAATATATCTTACGTAAACACAGCTCTTAGTATCTCTTGTAGCAGCGATCCCTGGGGATGGTGGTCACTCTGTCCAATAAGACATAGCGTTTTCAACATGCACTCCTTACCGTTTCTGCCAAGGCTAGAAATAAAATATTGTAAATATTATAATTTATTACAAATAATATAAAATATTGTAAATGTTATAACATATTGTAATTTTTATAAATATTGGACAACTAAAACTTAAGTAAAGAAAATGCAATAAAATTTGAGTTCAAGTTTTCATCATGTAAGGCATGTGGCATCATGTCATATTATATCATACAAAAAACAGCTTTGGGAATAGTGTTAACTTCATCCAATAGAACATAGCATTTTTAATTTACACTACTTATCATTTCGTCAAGTCTACGAATAAAATATAAGATGATTGAAATTTAAACTTTTGTAAGGGAAATATACTCTATGGGGGAGGCCTATGTCCAGCAGTGGACAGATAATGGCTGAAATGATGATAATGATGATGATAAAAATGCAACATATTTTTTTTATATAGAACCACAATTTCGATCTGAATATCAAGAACAAACTCTACATTCACATGAGTGTCATAAGAGAGAACTAAGGGAACTAAATAGCCGCCCACCAAGCGTATCAGCTACTGACAAAACTCCCCTTATATAGAAGGCCTATGTTCAGCAGTGGACAATTGGTATTTTGATATAGTTATAAAAAAAAAAAACTTTAAATAAACTGATAAAATATCGATTATTATAATGCCCATTTAATTTCAATAATTGAATATAAATTTATATTTAAAAAATACAAACACTAGAGAAGAAACACTCGATACGAATCGATTTAAAAGGAAATCTTTTAAAAAAAGAATCCATCCCCTAATTAAGTATGGAAATATATCGTGGCGTTTAAATTTGTGTAATTTGAAGTCCTAATTTATTAATATTAGTATTTCCTTGCGATAAAAAGCCCTGGGGACAGTGTTGACTCAGTCCAATAAGGCAAAGCATTTCAATATGCACTTCTTGCTGTTGCTGCCAAGTTTACAAATTAAATAATAAACACTTCAAACTTGAGCGAAATACGATTGGAGTTTATTTAATTTGGTGTTATTAGGGGCCGTAATATCAATTGCGGTTCAACACTTAACTAAAGTTAAATAGCGAAATGCTAAAATCAGTTTGTTTAAATGATTTAACAGTCTGGTTGCTGACATATAATCAATATTTATTGTTATATATACACATACATGCACACACGTGTATATATGCATGGTGTAAGGGAAAGGTTGGCGAAAACTGAAATAGCAAATTCAGACCATTATTTTGAACTGAAAACCAGTGGAAATAATTTCCGGAAAAAATCAAATTTTTTCCTGTTCTTTTTTTATTTAAAATCATGTAATCTATGATATCATGTCCTAATATAAAGAAATCAACTGTATAAGGTCAACGCTACAAGCGTACGAAAACTACCAACGAAGAAGCGATATACATAATTATATTTACATACATGTTTGTGCGTGTATATGTGTCGGATAAGTCAAGTCGAAACAATTGTTTAAAATGCAGTTTATCAAATTTAATAATGCAAATTAAAGAAGATATAAAAGAAATAAATACAATATTCATTCATTCACACACACACGCACACGCACTCATACACACATACTCACACACGTACGCATCCATGCACCTACTTACACGCACTTGCTCACCTTTCGCTTGTCCTCTCACCCATACTAGTACATACACGTAGACTATAAAATTTTCCTCATTTCATTTATTAACTTGTATACTCTTATCTTTATAGATCAAGTAAAATAGATGTCCTTGAGTTTGTGAGCCTGGTGATCTGTAAGACGGGTAATCCTAGTACCGACACCAGTCTCTCAAAAAGATTGTTTTTAAATTGTAACCTATATAGCTGTAAATTTTATTATGTTGTCTTTTTGTGAGAGAAATAAATAAATAAATAAAAAATTCAATATGATATCTAAATTTTAAGACCATTATTTAAATTGTTGATATATAAATAAAAAAGTTAATCTAAGATTAACTAAATCGTCGGAGTTTTATTGAAATTCTAAAAGAAATTGTAATCGATAGATTACAATTTTCTATGGATTAAGTAAACTCGAGTTTAAACAGTAATCGAGCCTTAGATGATTGGAGCTTGCTCGAAAATGTCACTTCAAAATATAGATATTTCTCGTAGTTTCAATATTACATAAACATCAAACTTTTAAACGAGCAGTGTAATTACAGTAATTAAAAAAAAATAGAGATCGATTGGTTTCATTTACTTAAAACACCAGCAAAAATGTTTATCAACTCAGCCAAGTGTTGTCGAGTGCACTAAATTTTGTTTATTTTAAGCAATGAGAGTGAATTAATGAATAAATGAGTATACTTTATTTGCTTTATACAATATAGGAAATAAGCAAGGCAATTTACAAACACAACGATACAATTGTATAAGTACAGTAAGGCGGTCTTATTGCTGAGAGCAATCTTTTCAAGACAACCTTAAGGTAATGGACTATTTGTTGTACAAGTAGGTATGATAGTGATGTATAATTAAAAAAGTATCTTTTGTAAATTAAAAGTATATATTATATTATATATATATATACATATACATACATATGCATACATATACATATACATATTAATCAAACAAAATTATATGTTAAATATGTACCTAATACTAGGATATATATTAATAATTTAAAATAATTATATAAATACATAAATAAAGAATGCCAATTTTTTAAATGAAGAAACAATCAGATAGAGAAAAGATAATCTTTCACTTGTCGTTTGAAAGCATAAATGGATTTTGTACTTCTAATGACAAACGGTAATAATGAATTAATGAGTACACTTTAATTGTATCATACAATATAGGGAGTAAACAAGACAATTGATAGATGTAACGATACAGTTGTATAAGTACAGTAACCCCCTTACTTAACCAAAGTGCTTGTTCCTATCAATACATAATCTGATAATTAAAATGCCACATGGTACCTATAGAAATTAAAATGGTTTATTCCTGAATAACTTATCACGATAAACCAAATAATCCTCACCTATTACCTACCTCTTCGAAAAAGTAGTAAAAAGATTTCTTCAGGGTCGGCAATGTGCGCGTAATACCCCTGGTAATGCAGGCGTTCATAGGCTACGGTAACCACTTACCATTAGGTGGGCCGAATGCTTGTTTTCCACCTCAGTGGTATAAAAAAATTGTGTTATACTAAAAGTCCGACATCAATAATGCAAAATCAATTACATTGATATAAAAATCAAACGGCCGAACCAATCTTGACAAAATTTATATGGGGCCAATCTACAAGTATAAATTCTTTCTAATAAAAAAAAAAGAATTTTCCAAATCGCCAAAAAAATACAACCGAATTGTCAACCTCCTGTTTTTAAAGTCGGCTCAAAAGTAGCACTACAATATTAATTAAGTATGACTATAATAAAATTTTTAAAAACCTGATTCGGAAACTTGGAAAAATATTTGTAAAACTTCAAAAACAATTTACGGAATGAATTTGAATATTTCAGTAGCAGGTACTTACTACACGAGTATTAGCTTGTTCGAATAATTCACGTTTTAGTGAGCTAGAAAATTTTTAAAATTGATCACTCAGAAATATATTGAATCTTTTAAGCTAATTTAGGTTAAACACCTAATGGTAATGCTGATGGAAAATGGCCGTTTATTCATTTCTCATCAGCATTACCAGATGTAAACTTTGTACAAAAGTCGTTTGCTTGGACACCTCTGTCGCATTCGTGTTTCTACCGTGAAGCAGTTGTGTTTGCATGGCTGTGTTTCGGTTTGAATGGTGCAATATGGTAGTGAATTTGCAGGGTACAAAGGAATAACACCTGAGTTCTCAGGAATGTCCATGATACTGCTCATATCTATAGGCGACGGTTACCTCTTTGCAACAGGTGGGCCGTCAGCTTATTTGCCATTCTAAGTTGCATAAAAAAAGATATTTAGATTGGCCGTTTATCATTTTCCATTAGCATATGAACCACTAACAACAGTCAACGAATTAAAAATCTTTAATGTGGGATATGGCTTTAATGGGGGATTAAATTTTTTGAGATACAATCGTATCCCAAAAAAAACCGACTTTATTTATGACAAATCTAGTTATTTTGATTTAAAAACTGAACTAGTGAACCGATTTTGATAAAATTTCTTTGGGACCAATCTGAAAGCATATCTTTAGAGATAGGAAAATATTTTCCAAATCGGTTTTTAACTGACGCAGTTATGAGGTAACAAAATTATAGAAAATATAACCGAATTAAAATCATTCTCCTATTTTAAGTCGGTTAAAAATTCAAATAAAATTAGAATCTCTCTTCTTTAAAGAAGAACCTTTCTTCTTCTTCAAAGCGACTTTAAGCGACTCTTCAGAGTCGCTTAAAAACATTTTTGAATTTTGTCACGCAATAAATTCGATGCGATTCGACGAATATGCAACGCAGCCGTTGCTAACCTTTCAGTGTGACGCCTCTGTTAAATACTCTTAACTAAAAATACACAAACCCTTGTAGCATAGTCTCGATTTTTTGGTAGAAAGCCCCGCGACTGCTCCTGTGAAATTCAATGCTCCGGCCTTCCATGTGTTCCCTTTTCAAAAAGTCACGTTTGTTTTTCATAGCGTGCATCTGTTTTCTGTTTATTTTAAAATTTTCTCGAGTTCCTTTTTTGAATTGCTCCGCTTTCATACTGCCAAAGTCTATGCTTCGTTTCGCAAACGCTGGATTTACTATGAACTTCCTGTAAGTAGAACACACGGGTATTATTTCTAACTAAGCAGTCGTGTATTTGCATAGTTCCAGTTAAAAACAAGTGTTTGTAATTACATTTCTCTTTGGTGCAATGTTATAATTTAATATCATTTTGTATAATTATATATTATATTAGATTTTATATATAATATAGGACACAATTTTTCAGTACATTATTTTGTTTGCCAAAATATTGCGAATTAATGAATAAATCACCACCTTATTTATCTAAAGGGCTATACTTAATTTTTTTTTATACAACTTAGAATGACAAACAAACCGATGCTCCACATGATAGATAGTGATAACCTTCGCCTATAGATATGAACAGTACCATGGACATAACAGAGCATACTGTAAAGCCCATGTTACCCTTCATACGCTGCTTTTTTTTTATACAACTTAGAATGGCAAACAAGCTGACGGCCCACCTAATGGAAAGTGGTAACCGTCGCCTATAGACATGAGCAGTACCATGGACATAACAGAGTATACTATTTCGCCCATGATACCCCCCATGCGTTGCCACTCCTGAGGACTCAGGTGTTATTCCTCTGTACCCAGTAAATTCACGCCATATCCCACCTTTCAAACCGAAACACATGCACGCTTTTCCTAAGGACTAAGATGTTATACAATGAATGACAAGCTATAGAAATACCCTATTATTTCATTGCTATATCCCACTCTTCAAACCGAAATACAGCCATACAGACACATCTGCTTCACGGTAGAAACACGAACGTACAGTCTCCCTCTGGTCAGAAGAGCAAAATAATCAATGCGTTTCAGGCATACTTATTTTAAATATATTTCATTTATAAACCAGGCGCCTTAGTAGATATCACAGTAAATACATTGACACTCTTAATACCTATCTTTAAGGATTATAAGAGATAATTAACACTTTTGCCATCGACTGTCTTAGTATAAGACCTAGACACGTGGCAGCGTGTACAGCTAAGTTAAAATTTTACTTAAATGCAATCGAATGTGTGAACTATTTACCTTTTATAAGGCCTCTTGTATAAAACTCTTCCCTCTTCATTCGTGTAATAAATCGCCTTTGTGTCAACCCTACGATGCAATGGATCAGCATGGTGCATAAATGGAGAATATGGGTCTTGAGGTAGTTCATACGCTAACGCTGCTGTGTACCCCCATAATATAATGTCTCCCATGACATTTATATTCGGAAATGTGAGGCAGAATACTGAAATAATTTTACAGATATATAACACTAGTGATCCACCTCGGCTTTTCACTAATAAATAGAAAAATTATAATTACTATTGTATATTCTTTATTGCACTAAAACAAATAAATAACAAATTAATAACAAAGTTAGCAAAAGCGAATTTATCTTTAAAAGAGATCTCTTCCAGTCAATCTAACACATTGGCATAGGAATTAGTTAAAGCTAATAGAAGAAAAAAATTACTGTTAAAGCTAATACAAAATACTAATTTTATATTAGCTTTAAAAGTAAAATGTTTTATACTTTAGATTTTTTTTATACAACTTAGAATAGCAAACAAACTGACAGCTTACCTGATAGAAACTGGTAACCGTCGTTTATAGACATGAGTAGAACCATGAACATAAAAGAGTATATTTCGCCCATGATACCCCCCATGCGTTGCCATTCCTGAGGACTCAGGTGTTATTCCTCTGTACCCTGTAAATTCACTGCCATATCCCATCCTTCAAACTGAAAAACAGTCATGCAAATACAACTGCTTTACGGTAGAAACACGAATGGGACAGAGGTGACGCACAAACAACTTATATACAAAGTCTCCCTCTGATAAACTACATTATAATAATTTTTGTAGAAATCTCGACAATTTTTAAGAATAATATATAGCCTATATTACTCATTGACAACGAAACTCTCTGCTTTTAAAAGAAATTTTGAAATCAGTTGTGTAATTTTATAGTTTATCCATTGCAAACGACATACACGAAATCAAATCTCGTTATCTCTTACTAATATTATATTAGGCTACAGTAACCGCTTACCAGCAGGTGAGCCGTATGCTTGTACGCTACTTGAGTGCTTTAAAAAAAATATTAATATAGGTGTCAGTAACTAGTGATAACAGATAAGCAAAATGGAGAAACGAATTATGCGTAAATAGAAAACAGTTTCTTGAGACAGTTCATATGCCTAATTTTTGTGCACTTTCATAATATAATATTTCTCATAACATCTATATTTGGCAAAGTGTCTTTGATGATGAGGTCCAAAAATGAATAAGCTCGAAGTTTTCTTTCAAAAGATTGCATACTAAACGATATAATTCATCGTAGAACTAGTCATCACATCAATGGTTAACTGTGGGAAACGGGGATAGTAGACTTTGGTGATGTTTTGAGATGGGCGCTGCTGTTCGATTTAGACGATATAGTGATGTGTATCTGTAATTTAAAATTACAAACTAATGGTCGAAGTATGGACAGCAGCGTCACTCTTAAAACATTACCAAGTCTAACTGCGGATGCCAGCCCGCCTGCTTTATAAGGGAGGCAGTGTACAATTAACAGATAATACAATAAATAAATCTTAAAGATTTGTCGTATCGGTTCGGAAATACTACTGCTAGGACTTGGTTCAAAGTGTAAATGTAAAATTAAAATGCTTTAAAAAACGCACGGTGGGCGAATGCCACTCATCCAAATGGTCAGGATGGAATTTATTACACAATGATCCATCTTACCTATTTGCAGAGAACTGCCTTCTGGGAATACAATAAATCGTTTCCTTCTCGATAATAATTCGCCGTTATCATGGAGTGTGACGTCACTATTATTAGCTGAATCTATTGTTCCAATTTCAAACACAATGAAAAATAAATACAATAATAAATTTTTTATTAATTTAACCATCATAAACGGCTTATTTAAATTGATTTGAAAATGGAATTACTTAAATTCTCTTTTAACTTTTTTTAAAAACATAACGAACTAGAATATTATACGGTTTGAAGATTATTAATAATAGAATAATCTTATCCACAGCTTAGGAAACCGTTAATCACGATTTACAAATAACAGCTTAGAGACCGTTGTGTGATTTGTACAGGTCGTTATAAAATTAGATACCACTAAGTCTTATTTGTACAGTAAAAATATATTTTTTAGGGAATGTAAATTATAAAATATATACATTTGCAGGCAAATTTAGTGGAGACATTTCCTGCATTCTAATCTTAAGCTAAGAACATAAATTTAAAAATTCATTAATATATTTGTGACTAAGTTTGTATTTATCCGCAACATCGTCCACGTGACCGGGATTTTTTTTTAATGGATGATAATGGAATGGTAACCCCGCTTGCGCTATCGGTATACGCTGGCGGGGCACCAGTGAAGGATGATAGGTGACGATGAAAAGACAGGCCAGTTAGCCCATCGTGATGAATACACTTGGAATTCAGCACGATGGATTCCAGGGGGGACCACGTGGAGGTCGGCCAGGTTTACCCAACCTAACTGCTAACAATGGGGCCCTTAATCTCTATTATTAACAATCCCTTCCCCCCCCCCCCCACGTGACCGGGATATATTCATTGACTAGGATAAACAATACCCTACGTATATATATATATGGTACGTGTATACTATTATTGTATATTATATATATATATTAAGCAGTTGCGTTTGCATTGCTGTGTTTCGGTTTGAAGGGTGGTTTATGGCAATGAATTTACTGGGTACGGAGGAATAACACCTGAGTCCTTAGTAATGAGAACGCATGGGGGGTATCATGGGCGAAACAGTATACTCTGCTATGTCCATGGTACTGCTCATGTCTATAGGCGACGGTTACCACTTTCCATCAGGTGGGCCGTTAGCTTGTTTGCCATTCTAAGTTGTATAAAATAAATGCATGGCAATTAATAGCAAAACTCCCCTTATGGTGAAAGCTTATGTCCAGCAGCGGACAGTTAACGCCTAAAATGATGCTATATTTATTTAAGTGATTCCTATGTCTAAAATTACATGGTCATTAAAAAGCCCTTGTATGATCGAATAACGCCATACACGCTTGTCATTCAAATAATCATTTAGAATGCAATAGGCTTTGTAGAGTATCTATCTAGTTGTATTGAATCCATAATCGATTAACTTGACAAGCGTGGGTAATCATTAATTAAAATTGAAATATCAAACTATACATACCACAAAATACCGCTGATGCATGAAATACATAGTTATATATAAATTAATCATATACATATATCCGAAGTATTAATGTGGGATAATTAATGGCCTATCTCTGTCTGAAAGTTCACTCAATTCCGTTCAGTCATATAGCATAATTATAATAAACATTCTAACATCTTTACAAACTTTTACAATCATAATAATCCGTGGTGATCTCCGACCTCTGTGGCGCTGCGATAGGCATATTATTTGCATAATCAAGTACTGGTTTCGATTCATAATCGCGCCATTTTAGGAAATAAATATTTCTAAATTTGCTCCGCTCTAAGGGCTCTGACTTGTATTCCCAAACGTTAGTTGCTTGGTTCTCATAATATAGGCTAACCTAGCTTGAGAACCAATGATAAGTGCAATTGTAGTAAACGCGTGATACTCGTTATAAACAAAATATTCTATGACTTGAATTAAAGAAGTTACCACAAAATATTATACTAATATTTTGTGGTAATAACTTACCACATAATAAATAACCACACTAATAAATTACCACAAAATATTAGCATAACATTTTGTGATAATGACTTACCACATAATAAATTACCACAAAATATTAGCCTAATATTTTGTGATAATAACTTACCACATAATAAATTACCACAAAATATTAACATAATATTTTGTGATAATAACTTACCACATAATAAATAATCACACTAATAAATTATCACAAGATATTAGTGTAATATTTTGTGGTATATTGTAAAATCAAAAATAAATTTAGTGATTAAACGTTTCGATTTATTACTAATTTATTTACAACAGTGTTTCTGTGATTAATTTCAACAAAACCATATTGTTATTACATTTAGTTCTGTTAAAACAAATTCTATATTATATTATCTTGATAATTAAATCAACCTGTAGAAATTTCATACATTATAGTAAATCACCGAGCACCAGAACTGAAATAGTGCCGTTAAAAAAACCGGTAACGGTGCCAGTCAAACAGAGAACGTTAACAAGTACAATAAGCGAAACCTAGTTCAGTTGGAATAACCGTGACTTATCTAGTTTTGCACTATGATCTTCATTTAGTACAAAACTTGTAATATTAACTATAATAAATGTATAAACTATATTTATTAATATTTGACAATAACAAAAAATAAATAATAATTACTAATACGAAATTTTCGTAATCAAAATATAACAAAGTAACTTGCATTACTTTTGCTAATAATAAATATTTAAAAATTGTTAAATTATTTACCTGTCACGTGTGTATATATTAATTGTTAATTTAAATTCTTATATTCTATAACAATACGTATATCATAGAAAATAACAATTCTAAAGTAATGAAATAAAACACAAGTACGTGTAATAAAGATGGATAAAGTAGTGGCATAGATGATTTATATTATTACCATTATGTTTGTTCATATTTGATTAATAAAAATATTGGTAATATATCAATATGAAGATACTGTTTCAATTGGTAATAATTTGTTATGTTTGTATTGTATTATTTTTGTTATTTGGTTTCATTGACGCAAACGAAGATCAAGTGTCAAACCATCGTCGTCCAAAGAGGTATCTAGCGTTCAGGAATATAACGCATTTTTTCGTAAGTATATATTTTTAATCTATCTAATTATCGGCCTTATTTAGCAAAGTGGTTTATCGCTTGATTGATGTAAATAAGATGCTAAATGCGGTTCCCGTCTTCTGAGAAATTTGTTCCGCTGATGGGCATCGATTTTTCTCATGAAAGACAAATTTTAAACCGACTTCAAGAAAGTTCTCAATTCGGATGCATTTTTTATGTTCATTACTCCGATTACGATTTATATATTTATTTTTTTTACCTGAAAGGACGTACTTTCAGATTGGTCTTTTTTATGCAACTTAGAATAATAAACAAGATAACGACCCACCTGATGGCAAATGATAATATTCGTTTAATTTAATCTCAAAATAAGAACTTTCTAAAATTATAATACGGAATAGATTTATTAATAGACCAAGTTTCATGCAAAATTAATGAATTTGTTCCAAACAGATAAACATAGACAAATACTAATCATTTCCGTAACCCATCATTTGCAAACAAGTTGGCGACCCTACCGATGTGTAGTTATTTACTGTCACTAATTCTCGTAACTTCGATTAACAATACCAACTAGATATCTGCCCAAAGCTTCAAACATGGCCCAGTGAATAACGCCTCATTTACAGAATGTGTACTCGTATCTATTTTTTAAACAACTTAAAACTGCGCTTTAATCTTTTATTTCTGACTCAAGTACATCGAAATCATTAAGTTTTTAGATAATTCCACGTTTAAGTATAGCATCGCTAAATATAAAGATGTGGATGCAGGTGGCTCAGAAGCGTTTTTATAGAAGTCTTTGGGGAGGTACATACTTATGTTTAGAAGCAGTGATACCTATATTCTGTAGTGGATAAATAAATGGCTAGAATGATGATGTTAAAATTTGTTAAATAACGTCTCACGTAATAGAATAGAACTCCAGTTATATTAAAATATAACTGGAGTTCTATTTTAGTACGTGAGACGTTATTTAGCGATGGCACATTTTGATCGTGATACTTTATCTAGTTGGTTTTATTGATCGATGTCGTATCATAAATAATACGATAGTTATCACAGATTGTGCTGTGAGGGATAAAGGGTGTTGACACCCCTGATGTCCCTCATGTTTTGTCCCTTTTGAGCATTAATGTATTAAATGCCTCTAATGTCAATAATTACGCTCAATTTCTATCGTGATGTCTCATGAAACATACATATGATGTTAACAGAGATTTAAAATAGTAACTGTTGAGTTTCTTGCAGATTTTTCTTAATAGATAACAGCTTTTCGAACCAGCTATGTATTCATGAAAAATGACAATAGATACGTGGCCAAACAGATCCAAGGCCTGTATAAAAGCCAAAGGTGGCCATTTGGAATAGATTTTTTTTTTTATTTTTTGCTGAGACTTTAATAAATACGTAGATATTAATTTTTAATTAGTAATATTACATTACTTCATAAAATAAAATGCATTTTCATTTGTAACAGAACTTATGGCTGAACTAGGTATCAATTATCAGCTTCATATGTCTATTATAAATATATTAGGTAAAAAAAAAAAAGATTGCACATAAATTTAATCTATATATATATAAAAATTAATGCCACTTTTCGTTGTAATTTTATAACTCAAGAACGGGTTCACCTATCCAAACCAAATGTTTAGGCTTTGTTTGGACTATTTAGTAGATGGTTTATGTGAAGTTTACACAAAATCAGTCGAGCGGCTCTCCATTTATCACATTTTTTGTAACAAATGAATTCAATAAATGGCGGATCATTTTGTTAATGGGGTTTTATGTGTCAAATTCAAACTTTTTTTTTAAGATGAGTATTGTGCTGTCAAATTGAAACTTTTTTTCAGTGTTGACAGTACAAGCATGTTGGGGGGAAAGGGATTGTTAGTAATGGAGACCGAGAATTCTATTGCTAGCAATATACCCAACCAGGTCGACCTCCTCGCGGTTCTCCCTGGAAAATATCATGGTTAATTCCTGATGAATTCATCATGATGGGCTAACTGGCCTGTTTTCATTCTCATCTATCACCCTTCACTGGTGCTCCGCCAGCGTATCCCGTTAGCGCAAGCAGGGTTACCATACCATTTTCACCCATCAAAAAAAAAGTACAAGCATGTTGTTATGTCATTCATGCGGTCATTTCAATTTGGACGTGCTTCGATTAAAACAAATTGTCAGCGATATTGATGTTATTTTTTTTTTTTTATTATTTCACTTTATACGTAGCGAAGCACGTACCGGGCCGCTAGTTGAGATATAATGTAAACTTATGATGTTTTTCAGATGCGTCTCAATTTTAAAGCCAATATGGTGTGGTGGAATCAAATATTCGCACAAGCACTAGGGTTCCGTATGAATTGGGACGAACCACCGGACTCATTTCATCCACACCATCATTTATACAGAAGAACTGTTTATGAAAATTTGGAAACATTATTGGACAGGTAAATCTATACATGCTACCTAAACCCAGTGGGAAGGTTTATGTCCAACAGTAGGAAGGTACAGGCTAAAATAGTAATGATGATCATCATTCATTAAATTTTATTCACCTTTACCAGAGGGAGACTTTGTACAAAAGTCGATTGCTTGGGTACCCCTGTCCCATTCGTGTTTCAACCGTGAAGTGGTTGTGTTTGCATGGCTGTGTTTCGGTTTGAAGAGTAGGATATGGCGTGAATTTAGTGGGTACAGAGGAATAACACCTGAGTCCTCAGGAATGGCAACGCATGGGGGGTATCATGGGCGAAACAGTATACTCTGTTATGTCCATGATACCGCTCATGTCTATAGGCGACGGTTACCACTTTCCATCAGGTGGGCTGTCAGCTTGTTTGCCATTCTAAGTTGTATAAAAAAAACTATATTTTTTTTAATGAGTGATAATGAAATGTTAACTCCGCCTGCGCTATCGGTATACGCTGGCGAAGTACCACTTAGGGATGATAGGTGATGATGAAAGCAGGTCAGTTAGCCCATCGTGACGAATTCCGCTAGAATTAACCACGACGGTTTCCAGGGGGAACCGCGTGGTCGACCTGATAGGGTGTATTGCTAGCAATGGGTCAGTTAGACCCCATTACTAACAAACCCTTTCCCCCATCCACCTATATTTTACCTACATTTTTTATATATCAGCCAGCATATGAAATAAGAAGTCAGAACGAGTGCATATGTAAGTGTATAACCTTAAGGTTGTCTTGAAAAGATTGCTCTCAGCAATAAGATCGCCTTACTGTACTTATACAATTGTATCGTTATGTTTGTAAATTGTCTTGTTTATTTCCTATATTGTATAATGCAAATAAAGTATACTCATTCATTCATTCATTCATATGTGTAAAAAGAATAAGGCATAATTATATTAAGTAAAAAAAATATGTATATGTACTCTAAAATGTACTTTAAAATACTCTTCTCATTGCCCACCCCATAAATGACCGCACGTGATGATAGATGCATAAGTAAAAACGGCCAACTGCTTTCAGAAACGGAATAAGTGGCTACCACTGCGTACGGCGGGCCATTTGTGAAATGAGATTGATCGGCGAGCCGCGCGGAGTTTACTATAAAATTTTAAAAATGGTATTCAGGTAAAAACACTGTTGATTTTTAATACTAAAATAATTATTTTTCGCTTTTATTGATTTTATTTCAACATCAAAAATGTTATATTAATTCATGTAGTTCTATACAAGAAAGAAATATATAAATATTTTTATTCAAGTAAACTTAAATTTAAGTATTTTTGAACAGTTATAGAATAGAATAGAATAGTTATAGTAAAATATTTTTTTATGATTTTACCTCTCATTAGGAATGCAATTTAATTTAATGCAAGTCAATGTAATCAAGTATTTAATGCGTTTTAATCTATTAATTAAATATAATTAAAACTAATAAAAATGGGCACTTAAACCAGAAATTTTAGAACATCTCTGTAAATTATTGATGCCCATTAATTCTTCTCTTTTCGCGTCTAGGGAAAGTAGATAAAGTTTTGTTTGAGAATTCAGTTCAGGGTACGATAGGACTGATATACCTGAAGAAGGTAAAAGCCCTTAAAATAATATAAAAAAAAAGAAACTCAGCTGTTGCTTTTTTCAAACGCTTCGATTTTATAAATTGTGAATGTGTTTTGTGTTAAAAAGACACTTTTAACATGACAATTATTGATATATTTTTTTTTATTTTATATCATTTTATTGATGATTTCCTATACATAATTTATTTTGTCGTTCCATGTAGCGAATGCTGACAGTACACTACATTTGCCTGTACAAGCTTACCATTCGAGACCATTTACTTTTACATTTTATAAAATGTTTTGTCGTTTTCAGGCAACAGTCCTTAGCGACCGACAAATGGCATAATGTAACAAAACAAGAATGTCCAATGTCCATAAATTTATGCCCATTGTCATTACTGGAAGTATCACTTTACACGGACGTGTAAACCAAAAGAGATCTCAAAGTGTCCTAAAATAAAGTCGAATTTTAAATGTTCGCAAAATAATATGTAGCGGACCGAATCGTTAATTTCCAAATAACGAAAAAGTTTAAATGAAATAAAAATAAAAGTATATAATGACGTGTTTTTTTCTAGTAATTTATTAATTTCTCTTAAGAACTAAATGAATTGTCGTGTGGTCCAGACATAGAATGGGTCACTTCTTCTTTTCCTGTTATTTTTCTAGAACCTAATGGACGAGGGATAGGCAGTTATATCCCTTTTAAAACATCACCCAAGCTTAACTGCTATTGCCAACCCGCCTGCCAAACATGGCAACTACTGGCAAAAGCCCCCCAAAGGTGACCTATGTACAACAATGTACAATAAGTAGTTGGTACGATACTGATGATAATGTTGTTGATAAATATATTTATAAATAGAAATATGAAAGGCCGGCAGCACACCTGCAATGCCGCTGGTGTTGTAGGTGATCATGGGCGGCGGTAGTCACTTACCATCAGGTGAGCCGCATGCTCGTTTGCCCCCTGTGTTGTAAAAAAAATGATGAAATAGTTTTTTTATAATTTAGTACTTGGTTCACTATATGTATATGTAACTCCATCATCATAATCATCATACCAGCCGGTTTTGCCAGTAGTTGCCACGCTTGGCATGCAGATTGGCAACCGCAGTTAGACTTTAGAGATGTTTTAAGGCAGACGCTGCTGCTAATTCTTCGCCCTCTCTTAGTCACCTCTTACGACACCGACGGGTACAAAAGGGATAGCCTATTCTATGCCGGGACCACACGGCCACATGTAACTTAAATAACGTCGGCAATAAAGAAACAGGTATGTAAATACTATTTACCTGTAAAAGCTTTTTCATCGCGTTAAGTCACGATTTACCTAAAATACATGAAACCAGAGGGAGACTGTACAAAACTCGATTGCTTGGGTACCTCTGTCCCATTCGTGTCCATGGTACTGCTCATGTCTATAGGCGATGGTTATCACTTTCCATCAGGTGGACCGTCAGCATGTTTGCTATTCTAAGTTGTATAAAAAAACATGTATCTTATTTATTTATTTATTTATACTTTATTGTACACAAAAACTTACAAACATATAATATATATATATTAAATAAAGATATACAACAGGCGTGCTTAATTCTGTAAGAGTTCTCTTCCAGCAAACCCTGAGTGGAAAGGGGCATTAATTACCAACAGACAGTGTGCGTACAATAATAGGAGGAAACCGTATAGTTATTTCTATTAAGAAATAATAAATATGTTGACATATATATAAATTAACTCATATAATTAGTTAATTAGTTTTATTACATTATTAGTAGCTTAGTTTTTATTACGTGAAAGTGTCAATTCAATGGAAAAACATCTACTTATCATGCCCACAACGCTGCAATGAAAGATCAGTGCGATGTAAGCACAAAATAAATCTAGTTAGTTGCTGGTAGACTAGTCAATAAATTCCCAGAGCATCTAAATCGACCCGTTTTGGACTGGTCGCCCAATGGGCTTCATACGGTGCTACTATCGATTCTAGATTAAGGTGAGGTGATTAAGCGAGAGGTTTATTTCACATATGTATTAAAATAAAGGCACCTTTTCATTTACCATATAGTACATACATACAAACATACGTATCTGTCACGCTTGTCTCCCATTAGGTTAGGCAGAAACAATGGAACGCCAAATGCTTCGATACAAACAAACCTCTTTCGTTTTTCATACACGCTCGCCGGTTACGGGTACTTTTAATTTGGCCCTTCTTCAGCACGTCGCCTATTTGGTCAACATACATCCGTCTAGGGTCATATAGTAATATTTATTTATTCATGATTACACATTAAAATATGTCTAAAAGGTGAATTTAGTGCCTGCTGGCAATCTCTACCAGTCAACAGTTACACTAAATGGCACTAACAGTAAAAACTGGGAAGGGATTGTTAATAATGCTGGCTACCAATCCCATTGCTAGCAATATACCCTGTCAGGTCGACCTCCACGCGGTTCCTCCTAGAAACCATCGTGCTAAATTCCAGACGTATTTCGCTTTTTTAATTATTACGCTTTCTCATTATCCACCTAACATCCCTCACTGATGCCTCGCCAGCGTAAACCGTTAGCACAAGCGGGGTTACCATTCCATTATCATTCATAAAAAAAAGTGGAAACATATTTCATTTTATCAACAACTTGATAGATTTTTTTTAATGGGTGATAGTGAATTGGCAGCCCCGCCTACGCCATCGGTATGCGGTAGCGAACACCAGATGATAAATGAGAATGAAAGTAGGTCAGTTAGCTCATCGTGACGAATTCCACAGGAATTAATCAAGATTATTTCCATGGGAAACGGCATGGAGGTTAACCAGATAGGGTATATTTCTAGCAATATGAAAATTACATGTTACCAGAGGGAGACTTTGTACAAAAGTCGATTGTTTGGGTACCTCTATACAGGGTATCCTAGTACAGATTCTGTCCACTTCCAATGCCGATCTGTATCTATTCAATTTTGTAAAATGTATAAATGAAGTGCCATTGTGATATAAATAAATATATTATTAAAAATGTTATTTTTTTTATACAACTTAGAATGGCAAACAAGCTGACGACCCACCTGATGGAAAGTGGTAACCGTCGCCTATAGACATGAGCAGTACCATGGACATAACAGAGTATACTGTTTCGCCCATGATACCTCCCATGCGTTGCCATTCCTGAGGACTCAGGTGTTATTCCTCTGTACATTGTAAATTCACGCCATATCCACCCTTCAAACCAAAACACAGTCATGCAAACACAACTACTTCACGGTTGAAACACGAATGGGGGAGAGGTATCCAAGCAATCGACTTTTGTACAGTCTCCCTCTGGTCTGCCAATCTACCTGCCAACCGCAGCAACTACTGGCAAACCCCTCTTTATGGGGGGGGGCTATGTCCAGCAGTGGACAATTAACGGTTGATAAAATAATAAATAATAAAGACAGACAATCGAGAACAAACAGTAACTGCATTCTAAGTCAATGTAAATATTCTAAGGGAAAGATCGTGTGCACGTGACCTGCACAATATATGAGATTTACTTAATTCGTTCCAAACGTGCCGCGTCTCCACAAACACGGCGACCATTGTGGGGACACTTTCGACGGCTGCAGAGTGGAGATTCAGCTTTATATTGCATTCGCTGAACGTTACGAAATGTTTTTTATCGAGTTTCAGATTAATTTTACTAAGACTAAATTACAGATCTATTTTTTTTAACGCGTCACCTACATATTTATTCTTTGTTTCTACCCAAAGGTTGTCTGGAAGAGATTGCTTCATTGAGCAAAGCCTATTACTCACTAAACGATTACTTGAATGACGAGTGTGCATGGCAATAGTTGTTCATGCACTGAATTTTCATTTAATGTTAGACATAGACACCTATATAAATATACATTGTAAATAAACTGGCTTTAAAAAAAAAAAGTAATTCAATTGAGTTTCTTGCCAGTTCTTCTCAATTGGATCTATATACCGAACTGGACGGTAGGGAAAATATAAAATTATAATGTAAAAATTTGACGTTCATAAGCGGCTAAAATGTCCTACATGAATAAATGATTTTTGAATTTGAATTTGAATTTGAATTAGCAATAAGACCGCCTTTTGTACTAACTATACTTATCGAAAATTGTTCAACAAATCCTGTAATGTTGGTGCAAGAAAGTGTTAAATAAATAAGTAAATAATATTAAGATTGATATGATGTTAAAATATCTAAATGAATATTTTGAACTTATTTCAAAAAGAAATAGCTTCGCAATTCGGTTGTATTTTTTGTTCAGTCGTTTAAGTATCATTGAATAATGGACGTTAAGGGTCATCAAATATGAATGATTTTACAAATTTTAAAATTTAATTATAATTTTGATTAAATAAATAAATACCATTGGTCATATCATACAACGCCATCTAGACCCAAATTGAGTAGAACTTAAACAATATTATATAGAGATAGAAAAAATAGGCATACTCAGTAGCTTAATCTGCTTACTTGCTATTTAATTGCCTTTCTTAAAAATACATGTAAAACAGAAAAAAAACACCAATATCAGTATAAACTGACATACTCCAGAAAATAGGGGGGAAAGGATTTTCAGTAATGGAAAGGTTAGTTCCCATTGCTATTAATATACCTTATCAGGTCGACCTCCATGCGTTTCCCCCTGGAAACCATCGTTACTAATTTATCGTTAAATTCGTCACGATGGGCCAACTGACCTGCCTTTTCATCCTCACCAATCATCCCTCACCGGTGCCCCGCCAGTGTATACCGATAGCGCAGGCAGGGTTACTATTCCATTATCATCAATTAAAAAAAAAAAACTCCAGAAAATAACAATTTGTATTGCGCGGAGATCAAACCCACGACTGATTGAAAGGTATGTGATGTGTTACACCACAAATGTTAGAATTTTTAAAAAGTGATTGTTATTAACAAAACAAAGTTGCTATTTTATGTCAAAATGTTTATTCAACACTTAAAATACTGTACCAAGTCAAGCCACCTGGCCGGTATTAGTAGATTGATGCCCAATAATGGGAATAGTGAGACATTATGGTGTCTGCTTAAAAATACGTTTACATCGTAGATTTTATACATAGAGTATCTCCCTTAGATTACATAGATGGAGCATCGAGTATCAAAAACGTGTCGAAATTAAATCAGCTAATTTGATATTTGGCTATTTTTTAACCGAACGATTCGAACGGTTAATAGAACAATAGACTCCGAATAGAGATCTAATAATTTGCCTAAAGATGCCTCATTATAATTAAAACGCGTGTCGCAAAATGCCTGTGAACAAAATGGCAGTTGTAGATTGATAGCTAATATGGAAGGTTGTGAAATTTCTTGTAATAATAGGAGTGATCAAACTTCGAGTGCTACCAATACATATTAATGGTAACGGGATTCAATAAAATAGTTCTAATCAAATAACCAGTAATGTAGACTTCCACAAGATAACACCTAGTTGAATTAAATATTTACAAAACAAAACGCTCCATCTAATATTAATACGTTTTTAGTACTCAGTGCTCTATCTATATAGATATAATCAATTTACATAATTCTCATTCATCTCTAAGTACAGATATGAGCTCCATAACTCCTTGACCTTCAGGACACTCGTGGTATACATCTGGACAGCTGAACATCTGACGGCCTGCGATCGCTGCATCCCTATATACTGACATAGATTCTTCCCACTCCAAATCTTCAGGGTCAAATGGTGTCCGCCCATAATCTGGCCTATAAATTAATTATACATATATATGGATCTTAATCTTAACTTGCAATTATAAATAATACCGTAGCAAATTCTTAACACAATATTTTATATGGTAAAATATATATTAATAATGTTAATATGGCAACACTGTTATTTGTTCTTCATTCATCATTTTCTCCATCAACTGTCAAACATTTTACACTATGCTCTGTAGAAATATATTTTCTAAAAAATTTGTTTCCTACAAAGCGTATAAACCAATAATAAAACAGTGCAAGTAGATAGAAAACTAAAAAAAATAAAAGTACCTATTTACACTTCTAAACATTGTCTGGGGAAGAATACAAAATTAATACATTAAGTCTTCCATTTGCGCCAAATATTTTTCTTTTTATAATGTGTTCAATAAAAAATAAATAAATAAACTAAATTAATTAGCCTCGTTTTCTACTTTATCCTTCTAACGCTTTATTCTTTGAAAAGAAAAAAGAAATTAGAAGAAAAAATATTCCTTCAAAGGAATTTTCAATTAAAGTGCTCGAAACAGTCTAACCTGTGCTCCGGTGTACATAGCTCGGTCAGTTGGAGCCATTAATCGCAAGATACACGCGATTACGTGCCAGTTACTGCCTCCACAACAAGTTAGGTATGAGGCTACCTTCTCCTATATTTTCAAGTCTCCACATACCACCTAACATTAGCACGGACTTAGATTACATAGATGGAGTGTCTCCATACAAATGATCCCCTAAAAACCGGTAAACTTTTTATTTATGTGTAGGTACATATAGGTACATAGGGTTACCAGATACAATTCACACTAAATATGTGGAGAAATTTATAAATATATTTTATATCTTATTAAGGTAAATTAAAAAATAAAAACGTTACAAAATATTAAGAATATATCTAAAAGAACAAGATAAACACTGCATAATAATTCATAATGATACATGTCTTTAATGAATTACTTTGATTTATATCTGAGTATAGATATAAAATATGTTTTCGTTTTTAAATTATTGAAAATGGCCATCATTTTTATTAATACGTGTATATTAATTTATAAGCAACACAGAAAAATGTATTCCAAATTCTAATTTAAAAATCGATCTGGTCTGGAAAATTTTTAATCTCATTATTACAAAATTATGAAAAACAAATGCGTTATGTTTTGTTTAAAAAAAATGCCAGTCAAACGTCAAATTAACTGACTAAATTTTGACACGTTTTAAATATTTAATGCTCTATCTATAGAGTCTAAGACCTCAGTTAATTTTACAAATTTTAAAAACTTGGACGTTTATAAAGATTTCATTCGTTTAAATATGGTTGAGTAACAAACACGCAAACATCTTTACGAACTTTGAACACTTTTAATATTAATTTACCATAGCACGCCATGATATCATGAGTATATACAAATAACAGCAAGAAATATAGGTAGCTTAATAGGTAGATACCTTTATAAGAGAGCGTCTTCTATTTCAACCAACTTCAAAAAAGCAGGAGGTTGTTAATTTGATTGTATTTTTTTTATATGTGTTACCTCATAACTCCGTTAGTTATAAACCAATTTAAAATATTCTTTCTTATTTGTAAGGATATACTTTCAAATTGTTCCCATACAAATTTTATTGAAATCAGTTACTTTAACTTAAAAATTTAACTAAATTTTTAAGTCATAACAACTAGTTTTGCTGCGATTGAAGTTTTTTTTTTTTTGTAGAACAAAATCTCAAATAATATTGTTACAGCCTCTTTATTTTAACTTGTAATACGTATATATGCTAGTTTGTTTAAATAAAATGTTCCAAGCCGAATTAGAACCACTTCTTGACATCGGATTTCACCAGAGGGAGACTTTGTACAAAAGTCGATTGCTTGAGTACCTCTGTCCCATTCGTGTTTCAACCGTGAAGCAGTTGTGTTTGCAGTTGGCTGTGTTTCGGTTTGAAGAGTGGGATATGGCGTGAATTTACTGGGTACAGAGGAATAACACCAGAGTCCTCAGGAATGGCAACGCATGGGGGGTATCATGGACGAAACAGTATACTCTGTTATGTCTATGGTACTGGTCATGTCTATAGGCGACGGTTACCACTTTCCATCAGGTGGGTCGTCAGCTTGTTTGCCATTCTAAGTTGTATTAAAAAAGGCCGATTGTTCTGAAAATTTGCATACGCCTTCAGTACTACGTGGTACTGTTATAGTTTTCCACGTTGATGAATAATATGTATACACAATTACTTACGTTAGTAAAATATGTATTATCTCTCCAACTAATCCTTCCTCCTCGACAGGATACTGGGCCGCCTCGCAGATTGCTCGCAACATGCATTCGTGGCCATTGAAGCCTTTACTGCAACACCAGAGTAGACTTTGTACAAAACTCATTTGCATAGGTACCTCTGTCACATTCGTGTTTCTACTGTAAAGTAGTTGTGTTTGCATAGCTGTGTTTTGGTTTGAAGGATAGGATATTGCAGTGAATTTACAGGTTACAGAGAAATAACACCTGAGTCCTCAGGAATGGCAACGCATGGGGGGTATCGTGAGCGAAACAGTATACTCTGTTATGTCCATGATATTATTCATGTCTATAGGCGACAGTTACTACTACGAACAAAATTATGCATGAAAAAATTATACATGAAACATTTATGTAGTATAAAGTATGGTGTATGATCTACGTATATATGTTAACGGTACTTTGTTTCACCAGAGAATTAGACCCAATTTTAAATTGACTCACAACAAAAATTTACTTCAAACTAAGTCGGAGTTATTTGTCGGAAAGACCGAGAATAACTACATGGAACAGATAAAGGAAACACTAGGTGTCTTGTCGTATAGGAAGGTCAAAGATATGGGATAGAGCTGGCTGAAAGAGAATGCATGAATTAGTTGCATCGACAAGAGGAAACTCTTAAAAAAAAGTCGGAGTAGTGCACCATTTGGCTATGCCACTCCATTCTTTTATTAATTAAATCGTCAGATTAGCCTTTGACTGTCCACTGCTGAACATAAGCCTTCTTCTTGGAGGGTTTTGCCAAGAGTTGCCGCGCTTGGCAGGCGAATTGGCAATCGCAGGCTTTGGTTTTAAAAGGGACGCTGCTGCCCACCTCTCGCCCTCCCTTAGTCGCCTCACGATACTCACGAGGAAGAAATGGGTGGTGTATTCTATGCCGGAACCACATGACCTAAATTATTCCTATTCATTAAATAAAGAAGTGAAATGAAAATCTACCAACCTATCCAACATATCAGCCATGGCTCTGTAAAAGATCAACCTTTCATCTTTTCTAGTAGCGAGGTCAGCTGCCCTTTGCTCCCTCGATATGTCCTCGTAAGAGTAGTAACGAGACAGCTCGGAGATGTTTTGAAATTGGCCATACTGGTATTGAAAGTTTGCTGCGAACGAGAGGCTGATGTAATCAGGAGTTGGAACAGGCTGGCTCCAGCCTACGATGAACTGGGAATAAAAACGATTTGTTGACGAATAAAAAACAAATGAGAGTTGAACTTACACACCGAGAGTTCTGTACATATAGTATTTGATATAAAATTATCTTTATTCCATACGAAATACATACCTAATAGTTATTATTATTGATACTACAATTCGTAATTTATTATTTTTAATCATAATTGTGGTTAAAATCTGGACTGCATAATTAAATTTGATTTTAGATTTAAATTAATAAATTTTCAAAAACGGTGCTAGTTACAAATATCGTTTTATTTAACCTATAATATTCACATTTCAGATTTTACGCTTCAGAAACTTCAGAGATTGCTCTGTTTTTACTTTGTACAAAAGTCGATTGCTTGAGTACCTCTGTCCCATTCGTGTTTCAACCGTGAAGCAGTTGTGTTTGCATGGCTGTGTTTCGGTTTGAAGGGTGGGATATGGCGTGAATTTACAGAGGAATAACACCTGAGTCCTCCGGAATGTCATGGCGGGTATCATGGGCGAAACAGTATACTCTGTTATGTCCATGCTACTGCTCATGTCTATAGGCGACGGTTACTACTTTCCATCAGGTGGGCCGTCAGCTTGTTTGCCACTCTAAGTTGTATAAAAAAAAAAGATAACAAACAAACTCACTTTCACACTTATAATATTAAGTAAGGATCACTAAATCTGAATGATAGTTAATTTTGTACCTTATAAGTACATCCATAAGGATATACAAGAGGTAAACTGTTTATTTGCCTTTTTGTTCTCAATTCGTCTTCCAAACTACTGAAATGTTCAGAAGAAGCAATTTTGTAACAGCAGTAAAATATAAACATCCCCAAATAATGCCTGAAACATGGAATAATATTTTGTAACTGTATGCAGTTTCAATATAGGAATGAAAAAAGGAAAAAAATGTAATATAATATTGTTTAAAAATAATAATAATAATAAACTCTTTATTGCGCACAGTAGAGATGTATACAAGGAGTATTTATACAGAATGAGCGTATACAAAAGGCGGCCTTATCGCTAGAAGCAATCTCGTACAGACAACCTGGCATAAAGAATGGATAAGTACAGAGAGAAAGGTAGATGACGCAAGTCAGACACAGTAAATGCATAAAAGGAATCAGACAAAATGTAAAAAATTCTAAATATAAAAATAAGATTACAATACATAAACATACATATATAATATAAATAATAATACGTAAACATAAATATACTAAATAGATCAAGATAAATCACACATAGTTAAAAAAATATATTAGTCCTTATCGTCATAGCAATAAGTTTTATAATACAAGTGCAAAATATTTTCATAAATAAAATTGCTTCTGAAAAATATGTACATAACCTATGTAACATACTTTCACGAACTAAAAATATTAAAATCAATTTATATATAATTTTTTTTCAAGTTTATTAAAAAATCAATCCTCGATGTATATTTTTTTTTTTTATTATAAAATATTCCAACACGATTGTATGTAATTCTAAGCATTTAATTATTCGCAAATAATTTCAAATGTAAATCGTGCGATTTTTTTTTTTAATTAACAAACAAAGTAAACGTCGTCTATTGTATTGTAACCATCATATTTATATAATATTGCATTATAAAAAAACTCACATTTTTTTTTTCAAAATAAGTTCTAAATCACAAAATATTTGGATTGTTTTTGTTATGGTGTCAGAATCCGGACTGTGACTAACTGAAGACACACTTATCTCCTAAATCTTCGGCCACATGACTCCACTTAGTAATACACTAACAAGGTATTCCAATAATTCAATAATACACAAACAAACTCAGTGTATGTGTATGTCGTGGTATTATGGTGTAGTTATTACGTATAGTGATGGGCATTTATTCCTTTTCAACCGACTTCAAGAAGAATTTCTTCATTTGGTATTATTTGAACTAAACCGAATTGTTCTAATTATATGATAGATGGCAAATAATAAAGAACATTTTTCGTTAAATATTAGAATAATATCATAGTTAATTTAATTTCAGATATAGATGACAAACATTACTTTTTTATTTTGTTATTTATTTAATCTACCATTCATAATTTTTTTCTATTAGTACAATAAAAAAAAATTGTTTTTAGTATAAATGGAAATTCAAATACTCATCAGAACTGTAAGTTTATAGTTAAAATTATATTACTTCATAAGATTTATATAAGTGTAACTATAAAACCAAATTATCTTGTAATACATTTAAGGCTCCACATTTACATCTAGACAGAAAAAAACCTCAAAACAATGATAGGGACAATAACGGGTCATTGTCCATTAAACAAACATCTATACACAATAGGAGCCACAGACAGCCCTCTATGTCGAGGCTGTTTCAACGCCGAAGAAACGGCAGCTCACGTAATCCTGGAATGTGAGGCTGTGGCCCATCAACGTTTAGAAATCCTCGGAATGGTGAGGTCGCTCCGTGAGGCCTGTGAAGAACCCAGGAAGCTTCTGCGCTTCTGGACGGAGCTAGGTTGGCTGCACTAGCCACGCCTCATACGCACAATGGCCCAAATGAGAGGCTAAGTGCGGAAAATGGAGTCCCTTTCACATTCACACATTCACATTCAAGGCTCCACATGAAAAAAATAAATAAATAAAAAATATTGTGTTTGTTAGTGTTTCATTTTTTTTACCCTCATTTCTTAATTAATACAACATGTATTTGGCATTTATTAATACTAATTGAATAATAGTTGTTCAATTTTTTACTTAGGTTTTTTTTATACAATTTAGAATGGCAAACAAGCTGACGGCCCACCTGATGGAAAGTGGTAACCGTCGCCTATAGACATGAGCAGTACCATGGTCATAACAGAGTATACTGTTTCGCCCATGATACCCCCCATGCGTTGCCATTCCTAAGAACTCAGGTGTTATTCCTCTGTACCCTGTAAATTCACGCCATATCCCACCCTTCAAACCGAAACACAGCCATGCAAACACAGCTGCTTCACGATTGAAACACGAATGGGACAGAGGTACTCAAGCAATTGACTTTTGTACAAAGTCTCCCTCTGGTATAAGAAGGTCAAGGGTATTGCCTGGGATAGAACTGGCTGGAAGAAAGTGCATGAATTAGTTGCACCGACAAGAGGAAACTGTTAAATGAAAAGAGATAGTTTCAGCTCACTCCACATCTTCCTTACGCTATACCGATCTATTTATTTTATTATATCAACTATTACCTCCCCACTGCTGAATATAGGCCTCCCCCATAAGGAGTTTATAAGGAGGTACCCAAGCAATCAACTTTTGTACAAAGTCTCCCTCTGGCACTAGTATTAAAGGAACTTAATGGTCAAGAGATAAGTAGCAACGTACCTTTTTAAACATCACCAAATCCTAATTGCCATTGCTAATATACTTGCCAAGCGTGGCAACTTCTGGCAAAACCTCATATCATCATCATAACTAAATATTAGCAAATCTTTTATTGCTATCTAAAATAAAACATTTTAAATCTCTATGTGTTTCAATAATTATTCTAAATTGCATATACATAGGTGTCATAACAAACTGGTGATACCAATTTCCAAAGCCATATGTAATATAGCTTAGTGTTATTCATTCTAATACATTCACAGTTCATTTAAGGCTTAAGCTCCAATAAGGCATCATGTTTTCCAACAACAATGTGTTGGTACTAACAAGCCTTCTCTTTCAGTTTCTGTTATGTGTGAGCGGGACGGATGTACCAATAGGTGACACGTCGCACAGAACACGGAGGCAACTTTTGTTCCCAAACTCCTCAGTATTGCAGGTAATTTATTTTATTTTATATTTGTTATTAATATTTTTCCATATTACGATTATACCAATGGGAAAGAAAAATCGAAAAAAAATCTCCTAACTAGTATTTATTAGTTCTTTATGGTAGTTATTTTTTTTTTAATAATTATTTAATGGAATGGTAACCCCGCCTGCGCTAACGGGATACGCTTACGAAGCACCAGTGAGGGATTATAGATGAATAATGAAAAAAGCAGGTCAGTCAGTCCATCGTGACGAATTCAGTGCTAAATTAGTCACGATGGTTTTCAGGGGGAACCGCGTGGAGGTCGACCTGACACGGTATATTGTTAGCAATGGGAACTAACCTCCTCATTACTAACAGTCCCTCTCCCCCCCCCCCCCCCCCCCCGATGGTAGTTATTGATGAGATAAACAACTACTATTTTTTTTGTTTAATTTAACATTGTACAAAAAAAACATTATAAATAGGTAAAAACATATATTTAAAACTAGCTGTTTCCCGCGGCGCTACCCGCCTGAATAAGTATTAAGGTAAAATATACGTTAAGAATACGAAATGTAGAGTTCACATTAAAAAAAAGTTTTCAAATAAGTATGTTGTTGTAAACCACTGATCCGATTTTGATAAAAATTCTTTCATATAAAAAAAAAAAAATATTTTCCAAATCGTTTTATAAGTATTGAAAATATAGGTAACAAACAAAAAAATATATACTTATAATAAATCTGTAGAGAGGTCAATTCTGTACATGAAATATATTTCCAAAATAACTATCAAGGGGTGATTAGTGACCGATACTGATGCCAAAAATGTAATCAGTAAAATTGTTGTCTGTCTGTCTGTATTTTCGTTATAGAAACAAAAACTGATACAATTATTCTTCGTACTCCTGGGCAGGTTATAGTATACTTTTCATCACGCTACGATCAATAGGAACAGAGCTATGAAGGGAAGTGTTGGGAAAACGGGAAAAGTTCTCCATTTTTAAGCTTCCGTCGCGTGTGGAGCCTTAATGGCCACTTTTTAAAATGTAAAAATGTTCACCCGTGCGACGCCCGGACGGGCCGCTAGTATATAATAAAATTGTAAAACTCCTCCTTTTTAGGAGTCTATTAAATTAAGTAAATCTATCAAGCCTTATAGGATACCTGAGCATCGTACCAAGGATCGGGTTATACATATATATTCAAATTATCGAATTATTTTTATTTATTGTTTATACCACTGAGGTGGCAAACGAGCATACGGCCCACCTGATGGTAAGCGGTTACCGTAGCCTATGAACGCCTGCAATACCAGGGGTATTACGCGCGCATTGCCGACCCTGAAGAAACTTCTATTATTATTTTTATTTATTATCTGTCTATTATACTTTATTTTTATTTTTTTCAGTTTAACGTAGGCATCGGGACACCGACACCAGCTAAACTAATCACATTGAACTACGCATTTCAAGCCAATTTTCAACTGCCATGGAATCGATCCCAAATACCCATAGATATATTGGAAGCTAACGGCGGTTACGATGGGAATTCAAGAAAGAAAAGAAACGCGAATGATTATTCAAGTTTGAAAGAAAGAGACAGCAATTATGAAAGTGATGCACGGCTTTATCATTTTTACAAATATGTTGAAGAGTTTTTAAATAGGTAAGTCTCAAAACTAAATGTATCTATGAAATATTATATGGTAGCTAATTGAAAGATGATATGGCCAGAATGGGAGTGATGGCTGAATAGAGAAGAATGAAAGAGAATAGCATATTACAGTGACCTCAAATTATAAATAGGATAATGCTATAAAAATATTTTTATTTTTATAGCATTATTATCTAATCCATCTATAAAACACGACTTGATCAATGACGAATTTAATGATGACTCATTTATGAAAATCAATCAAGCCCCTTAGAATATACTTCGCACTGACATGGCTTCCTTTCATATTTACTCGTTCATTTATTTATTTTTCTATTCGCAAAAATATATATAAATTATTAATTATATATATTTTTGTAAATAAATAACTTTATTTACTGTATATTGCACTCTATACCAAAAGAAGGATTTATAATCAATAATTTAGGTAAAGTGATAAAAGAAATCTCCGTATGGTCCAGGCATACAATGAGCCATTTTTTTCTTTTCCGTGACTGCCGTAAGAGGCCACTAAGGGAATATAATGGTCGAGAAATGGAAAGCAGCATCCTTTTTAAACATCACCAAAACCTAACTGCGGATGCCAACCCGCCTGCCAAACGTGGCAATTATTGGCAAAACCCCCAATAAGGGGATGACTATGTTCAAAAATAGACAATCTATGGCTGATATGATTTAATAATGATGGTACAAAATAATTTCTTATCAAATGTTTGTATGTATTATACAGAAATCGATCTTTACCAGAGGGAGACTTTGAACAAAAGTCGTTTGCTTGGGTACTTTTGTCCCATTCGTGTTTCAACCTTAAAGCAGTTGTGTTTCCATGGTTTCGGTTTGAAGTGTGGGATATGGCGTAAATTTACAGGGTACAGAGGTATAACACATGAGTCCTCAGGAATGCATAGGTGGTATCATGGGCGAAACAGTATATTCTGTTATGTCCATGGTACTGCTCATGTCTATAGGCGACGGTTATTACTTTCCATCAGGTGGACCGTCAGCTTGTTTGCCATTCTAAGTTGTATAAAAAAAATTTAACCCGCGATCATCGGTAGGTGAGACATTATATCTAACCACTACACTACAAAACCCCAAACAGTTATGAGGCAGAGAGATTATGACGAAATTATTCTCTTTTCGGATAATTGACAACGGTACCCTAAAATATTGATTGGGGTCCATCCGTGTTCCAATCAGCTAATAAAATTCAGGTGGAGAATGACAAAAATCGTGATTTATCACGTCATGACAATTATTATTCCTGGCAAGCAATTTACGCATAAATTGGTTTTGTCAATTCCCATTTTCCGAATGTCAGTGTATAATTTATTGCTGTTTATTGTACCGAATAATAATGGGTTTTGTTTCAAACTACACGTCCGCTCTTCGGCTATATTTACAAAAGTTTGATTGAGGAAAAAAGCAGATTTTTTCTCGCTCTTATTGGATAAGCAACAGGAACGAAACCTGTACAGCCGAATCTGGTATCTAATCTATTATTTTTTTTTATTCACGCTGTTTTATACAACTGAGGTAACAAACAGACATACGATGCACCTTGTAACAACCAGTTACTCTGTGGCTAGACACTACAATATATTTGTGATAGTTAAATATTAGAATCTTAGCATATATTGATAGAGTATCGAATCTCAAAAATGGGTCATCTTTTGTCAACTAATTGTCTAATTAGCTGACTCATTCCTTTATCATATATAATATAAACATAGCAAAATCTAGGTATACCATAACCTATGAACGCCTACAAGATACGCTAAGGCTTATTTATTTATTTATTTAAGGATAAATTATTCACTTCACTTATAGTTCCCCAAACGTGTAGTAAGCCATAGTTTCATGTTTCAAACTTTAACATATTAAACTTTATTTAGAAAATTTATCTAATTTGTCATTAATAATATAAATATCTAGCTGATAAGCAATCAAAGAATTGAGTAGAGAGAAAATAAGTGAGAGCAAACCGATCAGTACACAAAATAATGTAATAAATTGTGCATTTCCGACCCGACCTGAACGAAAAAAAAACATTTTTAAGCATTTAGAAAAATTCCATGCAAATTGGCGTCCGCGGGAAGAAAAATTCTTTGATACCTGACTTTTATTTATCCACAATCTTCAAAATAATTAGGATTGTGTTTCACAAAAAAATCGACCTCAATCGTCGCATAACCAGTTGTTTTAATTTAAAAACTAAATCACTGAACGGATTTTGATAAATTTTCTATGGCACCAATCTGAAATAATATCCTTTCAGATAAGAATTTTATTTTTGTATTTTTTTTAGAAATGACGGAATTATAACGTGAAAAAATTGAATCGAATTGAAAACCTTGTTCTTTTTTTAAGTCAATTCAAAACAGCTAATGAAAAAAGACTTTTTCAAATCCTACTAATAGTTTTGGAGGTTAGCGCGATGACCCAAACAAACTATCCTTATTACAGATATGTGTTAATAATTAAAAAAACGAATAATTATTATTGTAAATTAGTGAATTTTGTTCATATTGAAAATAATTACAACTTCAAATTTAATAGTCAATTTTATTTTTATCACAATCGAAGTTGCTTTATTTTTCGTGAAGTAAAATCCTGTTATATTTAGATTAATAAACTGTAATACAAATGCAAAAAAAAAAGAAAATTAAAATCGGATCAGAATAAACGAAGGTATACACATAAAAATAGACTTTAAATCGATTAAACGTAAAATGATGATAAAAGGACAAAATATTTAAATCCTGATAAGCCTACCGCCCTCTGTTGCATTAAATTAATTGCCGATTTTAATATATTTTATTGTTTCTTCATTCACTAACAATCTGCTCCGGGTTTGCTCAGGTAGATGGATATTAAAATTTAGTATTTTATTTTATATTATATTGGCCGTGTGGTTCCGACATAGAATAGGCCATCCCTTCCTTTCCCGTGGGTGTCGTAAGAGCCGACTAAGGAAGGGCGAGGGATGGGCAGCAACGTTTCTCTTAAAAAATCTCGAAAGACTGACTGACTGCGGTCGCCAATCCGCCTGCCAAACGTGGCAACTACTGGCAAAACTTCCCAAGGGGAAGGCTGTTGAACATAATTCAACAGTGGACAGTAAAGGCTGATATGATAATGATTTTATATTAGCTTTATTATGTATGTATGGAACCGAAACATATACACTACACACGATTGCCAGTACGCCAAAACGTCAAATTACTTAGCAACCTATGTAGAGATGCTCGGAGTTTCTTTGCGTGACAGAATCCGAAATTAAGATATCCGTCAAAGAATCAAAGTGGCCGACATAGCCCGAAAGATAATCAAGTTGAAGTAGCAATGGGCTGGTCACATAGCTCGAAGAACTGACAACCGATGTAGAAGAAAGGTTATTGAGTGGCGAGCCAGTACGGGCAAATGCAATGTAGAACGACCCCACACTGGATGGGGTGACAACCTCAAATACGTTGCAAGGAATTAATGGATCAGCAGAGAACGGATAATGACTGAAATGATGATGACGATGATTACCTTCAGTAGGTAAATTTTTAATACTTCGTGTTATTATATTTTTTTAAGGATTTCTCTTTTTTTATTTATGTTATTTGCCAATAATGTAGCTTTTTATAAGTGAAAGAATTTTTATACTCGGTTAAAAATTGTTTTGAATTTAACCATATGTAAACAAACATTCAACAAGTCTTTATACCTAATAGTATTTATTATTTTTCATTTGTACCGATTTTATTTCAGTTTCGGCCATAACGGTACATCGTGCATTCTCCGTACGTTGTGTCAACTAGGAGCCGAGCCCTTGCATTCACCTAATGAAGATGATCTGCTTCATGAAATAGCAACTTTTGTATTGAAGTAAGTACAACGACCTATAAATATATTAACAAATAAAATACAATAATACTTACGCGATAGATGGAACTGAGCGATAACCGCGTAAGTCGAATTTGCGTAAATCAGAGCACAATTGTTTACGCATTTCTGTGAATTCCTGGCCCCGTTGCTACGCATTTATTTCGCGGGACACGTTCGAATATACATATTAGCTTAACAATATCGTGGCAGGAGTGAGTAATCTGGAGTTGTGTAGCGTACGAATAATCAAATTAATAAGATTTGAAAATCGCATAACTTCGGGTCTGCGTAAATCGGGGTAGCGTAACTCGAGGTTTTACTATACATTACATTAATTCCACTTACAATAAAAATAAAAACAAATAAGTACATAAATAAGTAGATACATAAAATGTAACGACATTGCCTTTTATTAAAAATTCTTACATACAGAAATCAGCTGTTAGTTCTTAAGCCATAAGTCTGTTTGTTTATAAAACTTACTTGTACAACAAAGTCTTAAATTATTGGATACAGAGTTCTTAATGTGATAATACTTATAAAAAATAAGAATTTTAATATAAATCACGTTATTGCGTGCTTACATTTTGCTCATAACAAACAGTTCTTTGACCCGCAAATATAAATGGCAACTCCGAAGTCGTCTCGTAGTCAAAATTAATATGGCAATTATCGACAAATATAATTAAAATTTAATAGACATGAAAAGGTTTGTTAAAGAAATCTCTTATAAGAGACAAGCTTGCCTTTGTAGATACATCACATTTAAAATTAATTGTTCCTATCATTATGTTTGTGTACAATAATAAATAATGATTCACAAAAAAAAAATTCAATTGTGGCAAAACCATTTTGATTTATCAGAGGGAGACTTTGCACAAAAGTCGTTTGCTTGGGCACCTCTGTCCCATTCGTGTTTCTACCGTGAAGCAGTTGTGTTTGTATAGCTGTGTTTCGGTTTGAAGGATGGGATGTGGCAGAGAATTTACAGGGTATAAAGGAATAACACCTGAGTCCTCAGGAGTGGCAACGCATGGGGGGTATAATGGGCAAAACAGTGTACTCTGTTATGTCCATGGTACTACTCATGTCTATAGGCGCCGGTTACCTTTTACCATCAGGTGAGCCGTCAGCTTGTTTGCCATTCTAAGTTGCATAAAAAAAATACAATTATTTTGCATTCCAGCCCCAAGAACGACCTTGAACTTGCACCAACATACAGTCACGAGATCCTTCCATACGTGGAAGCTTATGAACGAGGCATAAGTGATTACAACTGCGTCGAAACATATGACAACTGTACCATAGCTTTACTAGAGATGTTCTCCAAAATAGAAGATTATTCTTGAATAGTGTTCGCTTATTAAAATCGTGAAAGAAATTTTGCCATTTTTACTATTATACAGAGGTGATTGTTAGTAATGCGAACTACCAGTCCCGTTGCTAACAAAATGCTCTGTTTTCTCTGGAAACCATCGTGTTAAATTCCAGATGTATTCATCATAACTGATCTGCCTTTTCATTCATTCTCACCTGCCATCCCTCACTGGTGCTCCGTATCTACAGACTTCTTTAATTTTTTTTGAAATAAAACTTTTAAACAAACGCTTCGTTCTCTACAATAAGAAAATAAAATTATTTTTTTTTTTTTTTTTATACAACTTATAATGGCAAACAAGCTGACGGTCCACCTGATGGAAAGTGATAACCGTCGCCTAGTATAGTATAGAAAAATGTACCAGCTTTTACCCGCAACTTCGTCCGCGTGACCGGTATATGTACTCTAACTAGAATTTAAAGCAGCCTAAATCATTCTTCATTCTGTCTAATACGATTATATAAAATTTCATAGTGATTAATTAAGCCATTAAGAATACTAAGAGATAACATGTGTATTCTACCGCTTGTATAACGGGTTGTATTCTGAGGAATTATTTAAAATGATGCTCGCAGGCACCTTTTATCATCGCACCGCTCGCCATCGACATGGAATTCATTCTCACATTTTTGAACCTAAATGGTCACGTACAGTGCAATTTCAAAGGATTTTCTCCCGCGAACGCTTAAGCTGTGGAATGATCTCCCTGCCGAAGTTTTCCTTAGAGACTACAGTATGGGGTTTTTAAAAAAGAACATGTTTAGGTTTCTTCAGGAATAGAATAGAATAGAATAGAAATCATTTATTCAAATAAACTTACATTGAAGCACTTTTGAAAAGTCATTACATTTTTTTTTCAGGGTTGGTAACGCACACGGTACATCCCTAGTATTGCATAGTAACAGTCGCCATTAGACGGATTGTATGCTCTTTTACAACCTTCGTATATATAATATAAAAAAAGAACTTTTCACGAAAACTTCCACCTTTAACACTTCCACCTTTATAATATAAGTAAGAATAACAAATCATCATCATCATCATATCAGCCTTTAATTGTTCAGTGTTGAACATAAGCCTCTCACTTGGGGAGTTTTGCTAGTAGTTACCACGCCTGACATGCAGACTGGCAACCACAGTCAGGCTTTAAAGAAGTTTTAAGAGGGACGCTGCTGCCCATCCCTCGCCCTCCCTTACTCGGCTCTTACAACAACCACGCGAAAGAAAGAAGTGGCCAGAACTTCACTGCCACAAATCAGTATAGTCTCCTTCAGCACAAAAGGTATCGTCACCATCATTTTAACTGTTATTGACCACTGCTAAACACAGGCCTCTGTCATAGACTGCTGTAAAGATCGATCCTGAGTTACCTTCAACCATTGACTACTTCCAATATAAAATTTTACCCCATTTATTGGAGAATAAGAGCTTTATAAGTGCATAATGTTGACCTACTATTACCAGGGCTGGCCTTAATCTACCTAGTGCCCCGGGGAAAAATTTTTGATGCCGTCCCAAAAAAAAAGGTCACCGGGAATGTCAAATGAACCGATGCAGTGTTACCGGTACAGTGACTTAACGATTGGCTCCTGGTACCTCTTACCCCCCTCTCCCTCCTAAGGCCGGCATTGACTTTTATAAAACAATTGCTTGATATACTATATTATTTTGAGATTACTCTTTATTTTTTTTTTCCACTCTCAGAAATCCTGATGTTTAAAAAAAAATATATTAAAATAAAAATTAATAAAACTTGATAAGAGTATAGAACCGACACTGTAATATATACTATTATTGAAAAAAAAATATATAACCATCATAAGCAGTCCGGAATTAATGAACACATAGAATTAAATTCCCAGCAGCAATATTTTTAAACAATTACGATATTCAAATCTTCAAAAGAAGAGCATATCCCTTCCTAAAGGTCCGGCGACACATCTGCAATTTCTCTAATGTTGCAGTTGCCAAGCAACATTACAGCGGCGGTAATCACTTGTCATAAGGTGAGCATGCACTCCTTGGTTTGCTATTTCATAACAAAAATTTGAGAACTCTTTCTTTTTAAAGTCGCATAACAATAGAATACCAGAGGGAAACTTTGTACAAAAGTCGATTGCTTGGATACCTCTGTCCCATTCGTGTTTCTACCGTGAAGCAGTTGTGTTTGCATGGGCTGTGTTTTGGTTTGAAGAGTGGGATATGGTGTGAATTTACAGGGTACAGAGGAATAACACCTGAGTCCTCAGGAATGGCAACGCATGGGGGGATATCATGGGCGAAACAGTATACTATGTTATGTCCATAGTACTATTCATATCAATAGGCGACGGTTACCACTTTCCATCAGGTGGACCGTCAGCTTGTTTGCCATTCTAAGTTGTATAAAAAAAGAAAGAAATATATTTTATATTAAAAAAAAAAAACAGTCATTTTTATCTGTTTAATTAAAGCAGTCCAAATTTATGCATCGTGTCTTCTCCGATCTCCGTAAACGTCTCTAGTATGGAGCCCTCGCATTCTGGAAACAAATCCTCACAGTCCACCCCAATCTCTCTACCAAATCGCTCTGCTGCGTGGTACTCGTTGTCTGTGTGATGAGACAGCGTGTCCTTGGTGGTTGATGGACTGCAAGATGCAAGAATTATTTTTATATAAGCCCTTTTTCATGAAAACTAAAACATGCCACAAACCTTTTGACAAATTTGAGAAATTAAGGTAAAAGAAAACGACAAAACAATAGCTAAAATAGTTTATAATAGGTTTGACATTTTTATAAATAAGGTTACTCTTTTAGTATGTCCTAAAAGAGAAACGCCATCTAGTTTTAAACTAAACAGAGCTTTGATATGGGTATTAAACAACTGATGGATCCACTTAATTACCTATTCCATAGATGTTACAATAAAATTACTACATATGGATAGATATGTCATCTTAATCATCAGACGTTACTAACGTTAATAACGTATGAGGATTACCGTCGGCAATATACATATTATAAGATTTGTTAAAAATCTATAGGAACAGCTACTCTGTTATGTCCATAGTACTGCTCATATCTATAGGCGACGGTTACCACTTTCCGTCAGCTTGTTTGCCTTTCTAAGTTGTATAAAAAAAAAGCTATGAGGTAAATTTATTATAATTCAGTAACTTTATTAAATAATAATTTTTTTCATTAAATTCTTCAATAAATAATTTCTCCCCGAAAGAAATTGTCAGTAGTGAGGATTAATGACTCCATTGCTATTAATATTCGAATCGACCACAACACGGCTCTTGGAAGCCACCGTGGTCTTTTCCTAGTGAATTAATCATGGATGAGGCCCAAGTAAAGCATGATAGATGAGTATAAAAGCAGGTCAGTCAGTCCATTCAACTAATGTATACCAATTACACAGGATAGGGTAGCCATTTTAATTTAATCCCATTAAAAGTCTATGAAAAAGTTAGTGAGGCCTATCGAATCGGAAGCGGAAATAACCGTTGAAGAATACGTGCTCTGTGCTCTGTACTCTATGCTGCGGAGGTTGTAAAAATATTTTTTTATATTACTTGGAAGAATAAGCAATCTGATAGCCCGTCTGATAGGACATGAGAAACCTAATGTAATCTAATGGTCACGGCACTCTTCTATATATTGCAACTCCTGAAGACTGTATCTTGTTATGAAGATTTAACTATTTTGTATAACGACATAATTACTTCACACAGCAGTAGGAATAACATCCCATAACATACACAAAAAAAGATTCAATAAACAGATAGTTGAATTGAAAACCAGCTCTTTTGATAGAAATTGAAAACTGTACCACAGTAGAATAAAATTACGAAACCTTACAAATCTAAATAACTTGAAACACTGCTCAAACTTATAAAGCCAAATCAAATATAACATGAAATGATGAGAGATTTTTCTTTATACAAAATTTAAATTAAAGATCTAAAAGTTTTTCCTTGAAAGAATAATGAATCCAAAACTCAAACCAGTTGGAAAGTCGACGAGATACTATACAAAGGTCGAGTCAATATTATTACAAAAGGCGAGATAAAGGTATGAATTCATTTTAAAAATTTCACATTCTACTACAGTACATATTTACCATGCCTGAATAAGCTTTTGATTTACTTACGTGAATAATATATGACCAATTTCTGCGAGCAAACCGTTTTCGTGAGTGAAAGGAACCTTGGCAGCCTCACAGATTGTTCGGAGCAGGCACGGCCGCCCTGAATAACCGTATCTGAAAACATTTTCAGTAAGATATTAATGATATTGTGATCTTACAAAGATGTCTCAGACGTAGCTACGATATAAATGTGTAACGCTTAAAACCTTTTCTATACATTTCTATTCTCACTAGCTGTACCTGCGATTTCGTTTGTGTAACTCGAGCATATGGATTAACATAAAAAAAGATAGTAGGCTATGTACCTGTTCGTACTGTCCCAAACTAATAATTTTTTTTTTTGTGATACCTTTTTTCATGATACCTCCATGCGTTGCCATTCCTGAGGACTCAGGTGTTATTCCTCTGTACCCAGTAAATTCACGCCATATCCCACCCTTCAAACCGAAACACAGCCATGCAAACACAACTGCTTCACGGTTGAAACACGAATGGGACAGAGGTGCCCAAGCAATCGACTTTTGTACAAAGTCTCCCTCTGGTGCTTGCTTGCTTGGTGTAATGCTTTACGGAGTTGACTGTTAGTATATATCTCCTAGTATACTATTTTTATATTATAAGAACATGATTGTCATTAAAAAAAAGTATTACGTAGTTAAGAGATTTTTACCTCTCAGCCATATGTTCTAGTATTTTGTAAAAGTCCCATCTATTCATTTTTTGTGGCTCTTGCTCTTCTATATTATTTTGATCGATTATCTCTTGTCGCCTGATAGCTTCTTCTAAGGATAGTTCAGTACTTGATTCTGTCAAATCTGTATTTATAGTACCACCTTCAGCATAAACTAGTGATCGTTTTCGCCTATCCCCTTGAAATGTTAAATCAACTAATGTGTTATTTTCTTCTTCTATACTATCATCAATTGTATTTTCTGTATCACCCATTCTAGCATCGCCTGTATCAAGTTCAGTTCCTGAATCTTCATCAGGTTCACCGTTCATATCTCTAGAAACGGTATTTGCAAATCCATATATTCTACTAGTATATTCTGAACTATTTGTTGGCAAATCATATTGAAACTTGATAACAGTGCCTACTGTTACAGATGCTTCTTTTAAATCTACTGGTATACCCAGACCTATAATGAACTAAAAAAAAAAATAATAATTTTTTTTTTCATTGTTTCTATATAAGGTTATAAAAAATACATTCTATTTGTTTCCATATGTACATTTTGTAATGATATCTTGTCTCAAATTTAACAAGGCTTATGTTATGACTACGAGTAAGCTAATAGAAGTACTTAAATTCTTAAAATGCATGTTTAAAATACAAAAAAAAACAACTAGACTAATACAAACAGACATACTTATAAACACGAGTGCCTATATTAGAAGTTTATTTTATACAAAGATAATAAAAACAAACTTAGTTTCACATTCATAGTATCAGTAAAAATAAGAGTAAATAAGAATGTACAGATACGTAAGAAAATTATAAAAATGTGTATAGAATAAACTCTTCAATTTATGTTTTAACTTTTAATACCTTATTTATAAGTGAAATTACTTGTTGCGTATCATTCGAAGGTATTTTATGTACAAAGTTTACCCAAGAAGGCTGTTTAATTGTAAAAGTCCATTCTGCTTTAATCGTGCTCAGTTGGTACCACTCCAAAAAAGGAATCCTTTAATTGGACTGTAAATCTACTTTAACATTCTGAAAACTTAGAACAAAGAACAAGACGGAATCCTACTCAAACGAAATACAAACAAGGCCTGCAATGGACGAAGAATTATATTTAAATTTCTGTCAGGTATTTTCAATGTTTGGAGTTTTGTTGTTTCTTTTTGTAGGCCAGTAATGTTTTTGAATGGTATGATTATTATATTATTTAGACCATATAGTTTTTTTTTTTTTTATTTTACATAGACATGAGAAGTGTATCATTGTCGTTTTATATTTTGCTCGCTCTAATACGTCGTGGATCGTTTGTATCCAGATCTATTGGATTCGATATAGAAGTTAAGATATGTAATACATAAAAATAATATTTTATTTCAATATCGTCAAAAACAAATATAATACCAATACTAAATACACGAAATATATTTTATGTGCATCATCGAACTTTCTTTTATTGATATAGTTTTTCCGCTCGAGCTTTCAATGTTGATGGCCTCTCCATTTCAGGGTTTCCATAGTTACGCGTGCCCGAGGTAAATATCAGCTTGTATTAGACAAATATATTATTGTTTCTGTTCTCTTACAGATTATTAATAAATTCTTTGCAATCTCAAATTCATAATATGAAAACAGTATGAAACAAAAATCTGCAGCTACCAAAGGCACGGAACGACTTAATTGCATTTAAATTCTCGAACAAAAACACAGCTTCGTTAAGCCGGATCCAGAGTGCAAAGAAAACATCATTTACTTAAGTTAAATCAGCTAGGTTGTTTAAATTTGCAAAAACGTACCTGAGCTCTTGCCGGGCCTCCGTCAGGGTATACTAGATACCTTTTGTGTCGAACGCTTGCCCCAATCGTAGCGAGAAAATTGAGAAAAATTAACTGGAGCAACATTGCGTGATTTCAGCTTTTTCCTTACGTCTGTATGAGGATGGCGTGCGAGATAAAATGTAGAATGTTTGCACAGAGCCTTCGGCGCTGTGTCTAATGAACCGTTATGTTTTCGTTACGATTTCGGATGTACCGAACGGCCCAGTTGGTGTTCACTGGCGTAAATTCACTGCATGTAACTGTAACATACATATTTATTTGAAAGTTGTATCGAATAACTTTGGTTCGGGTGTGTATTTTGCTGCGAGTAGATTAAATGATTCTTAAGTGGTAAATACGAAGGTAGAAATGGGGTTTTTAAACTGACTTAAGAAAGAAAGAGGTTCTGAATTCAATTGTATATTTTTTATGTTTGTTATCTCAGAACTTCTTTAATTGTAAACCGATTTGGACAATTTTTTTTAATTAGTTTTTTAGATAGATTAGTTTCATAGATATTTCAACAAAATCAAGTTTCGAATTTAATCGCTAGTTTAGTTTTTAAATCAAAAAACTGCTTTTAAGTTATCTTTCTTAATAGATGATAATAGAATTGTAATCCCGCCTGCGCTAACGGTATACGTTGGCGGGGCACCAGTGAGGAATGATAAGTAAGAATGGAAAGGCAGGTTTGTTGGCCTATTATGATGAATACACCTGAAATTCAGCTTTTTTTTATACAACTTAGAATGTCAAACAAGCTTACGGCCCATCTGATGGAAAGTGGTAACCGTCGCCTATTCCGAAATCTATAGGTTTAGCAGTTCCTTGACTCGCAATCGCTCATTTCAGCTATTAATTTTGATATCTACTGCCGTAGACACACTTAGACGTAGATTACTATTAAAAACAGTTCCTAACAGCTAAGAACTGCTAAGAGCTGAGTTCCTGCAGCACATTTTATTTCATTTGTCCATCTAGTGAGTAATAATTTATATTTACTTACATATGGATATATTGTATGAATTACATTTAAGTCTAAAAATATATTATAGTACTAATTCTGACAAGAGTTAACTGTCCATTTGCTGGACGTAGGCCTCCCCCTTGGGGGTTTTATCAGTAGTTACCACGCTTGGCGGCCGGATTGCTAACTGCAGTTAAGCTCTAGTTATGTTCTAAGAGGGACACTATTGCCCATCCCTCGACCATTATGTTTCCTTAATCGTCTCTTATAACATCTATGGAAAAGAAAAGGGTGGTCCATTCTATGCCGGGACCACACATAACTATTTAATTAGTCTATGTTTATACAGTGTAATTTAAGAGACAAATATCATGGCATAATTTGCGAATATTCAATATAAATAATTTATATAGTGATGGGCAGTTCTAACATGTTTTTAAACTACAGTTGTAGACTTAGAAAGGTCTAAAAAAAATTGTAAAACTAGTTTAGACTCCATACCTGAAGTATCTAAACTGTTATCTACCTAACTTCGAATTAATTACCAGTAATATTATACGAACTGCAATCTGTCATAAATATAACTTATTTTCCCGTGTGAATTAGCAAAAAAAATTGTGAAAGAATATTTGTCAATCTAGGGCATGGTCTATTTGTACACCAAATGTCATTGAAATCTATCCGACCATTTAAGCGTGATTAAGTAAGAACCATTCAAACATCTTCACAAACTTTCACGCTGAATGGGTCTGAATAAAATTCGTTACATATAGATGTATCATACTGGATTAAAACATACGAGTAGGGTTATTTTTATCCTAATACCCGCGAGCAAAACTGTGGGGCACAACTAGTGAAACTTAATATTCAGCACAATATTTTGATAGTAATTGAAATAAAAAGACCTTTAACTGTGACACAGCGTCCATTAATTATACTGTCATTTGAAGTAATCCACAGAAAAAGTGATTAAACATTCAATATTTAACATTCAAACAAACCGGTGGTTTACTCGTGAATACAGAATGGATGCATTAAATATAAAATGCTCAAATTAAATGCAAAATTAATGAATACAGCAAAAAGATCCATACATATGGCAATAACAAGACCGCAAAATCCCATTTCGACCCTTCAATAAATTCCCCTTGATTCGGAATATAGAGAGGCACTCCTTTGATGCGGCGTGAGATCGTGTGTATGTACAGTCATACACATTAACGATGCTGAGCTGTTTTATTTTGTAAATACCTCAGCGCCTTTACCTTCTGGTAGTCAACATTTTTACTCAAATTATTTGCTTCATTCAATATTTTATATTTAACATTTGCTATCACTTAAATACAACTAATATAATAGTAATTTGGTTCTACTACTAATCATATAGCTAGCGCCCTCTGTCAATTGTTTTTAAGCCACTTGTTTCACACACGAAGGCACCTAGCTTACCTAATAACAAGTTACGTGTTTTAAGCAAAAAACAAGTGAAAATTATATTAAATGTTAGATATATGTATTGAGTTTGATTGAGTGGATCACTCATTTGAAGGTTACTCGACCAGCGACTGCATAAAAAGGTAAACAAAACTTGCCCAGCCTGATAAAATTGACTGACTAAAAAAAATAAGTTAAAAAAGCTTAAGTTTGAAATTGTAATAACTTCTGATGATCTCGCGTCGCATTCAATATGCAAGTACCAAAAAATAATACCGTTGAGTGAATATCTACAATATCAACGTTTACAAATTAATATTACAAAGTTCCAAAAACACAATAGTGAATTTAATCGTGATATAATTAACAAGGACCAAACACAAGAGCACAGATAATAATAAAACTATACAAGAGAAACTCTATCGATAACAAAATCAGTTCAAAATCGGTTACCAATTATAAAAATACAGGCGAATTGATAACCTACTCATTTTTTAATTAATTTAAAATTTAAGATAAAATATCAACAATATCATTATATCGCTGACTGTACAATGCGGTCGCTGTAAGTAAATACAGATACAGAGAAGGCAGCCAATCTATCGGTTTTCTAATTAAAACATGTAATTTAGATTTGTTTATAAATTGATTAGAAGAATTTGTTTATTTGTTTACGATAATCAGTACTTAGTATATTATTATTGATTTTACGCACCGATGATCCACGATTTATTTTGTAAGTACGTAGCATTGAAAATTGTTTACATTTAAAACGCGTAATCGTGTGTTTATATGTAAATTTTGATTTATAACATTTTGATCTAACGGACCAAAAACTGCTTATTGCGAAACTGAAAAATGATCAAGTTATCGCAAATTTAATATGAAATTACATTACAATTATACCCTATTAACTGCAAAAAGTTTTCATGTGTTTTAAATACATAATCGGGATTTAATGCGATGAAAAAACCTTGGCAGGTAAATACCTACATACCTACTATATACTACATACATATTTACCATAGGGAGACTTTATACAAAAGTCGTTTGCTTGGATACCTCTGTCCCATTCATATTTCAACCGTGAAGCAGTTGTTTGCATGGCTATGTTTAGATTGGGTGATGTGGTGGGTGAAGGGTAGGATATGGCAGTGAAATTACAGGGTACAGAAGAATAACACCCGAGTTCTCAGGAACGCATGGGGAGTATCATGGGTGAAACAGTATACTCTATTATGTCCAGTACTATAAGCAATGGTTACCATTCTACTTCTTTATTACCGTTCCGTTTTGACGTGGATTGGACCACGTCGTAGTCACGATAGAACTGAAGTGAGCTGCGTCTTCGTCTGGTAGCTTGCGTAGTCTCTTCTGGTACCCTCACTCTGTCACCATTATTATTTAGAGCCAACCTACACAAAGCTAAAATTAACTAATTGCCATGTGGTCCCGGCATAGTACAACCCTTCTATTCCCATTGGTGTCATTAGAAGCGATAAGGAGATGAGAGATGGACAGCAGTGTCCCTCTTAAAACATCACTGAAGCCTAACTGCGGTTGGCAATCCGCCTGCCAAACATGGCGACTACTAGAAAAATTTGGTAATTATGTTCAACAATAGACAATTAACGGCTGGTATGATAATGATGACGAATTGCAAAAATAATTATGAAAATCGAATCAAAATCAATAATCTTACTACGTAATCTTATGACAAAAACAAAAAAAAAAAACAGATGAATTGACGATCTCCTTTTAAAAATAATTTAAACAATACAAACTATAATAGGGTTAATGATTTTTTTGCTATTTTACGTAATTATAAGGCAAAATTTCATGACAGATTAATGACAACAAATAATCATATTGTAAAGACTGTATTCCTCACTGCATACCTGACGACAAGAGATTTTATTAAATTGGTATTTTATAATTAATGTATATTTTAAAAATAATAATAATAGTTTGTTTAATTAATAATGTAAAAATGTAAACTATGGGTATATACCTGAAAATAAAGAGATTTTATTATTGTTATTATTATAAATACCAAAGCTTTCTCTTTAACAAACAAAATTACAGTAAAATTATTCTTCCCCAATTTTAATTCAGGTGCCTACATAATACGCGAACTCTGACTTTCTAAATGTTACAACTATAACACTTGCTATTTTGAAACTTCAACATCCGACATAATAGCATGACCTTGTGCTAAACGATCCCCTCTTTCGGAATTTGGACAACTTTGTGTACAAAAAGTTTTATTCCCCAATGTAGTACGGCCGTCGACAAATGCCAACTTTGTCGATAGCTGAAAGAAAGTTATTCTCTGAGTCTACTCATCGACTCACTGCATATACGATGATTGAAGCGTTCGATCATATAGATTATGATAATTCGATTAAATTAATGTCAAACGCTTTCTGTGGTTAGCTGGTAGAGAATGCCATACGACATTAACACAATTGGAATTCAGCACGCTGGTTTGCAGCTGGTCCCAACGGGGAGGTCAACCTGGTTGGGTATATTGCTAGCTATAGGCCTCTTAGTCTCTATTACTGACAATCCCACGAATGGGCGGTCATCAAGGTCCAAGGGAACTCATTATATAGATATCGGATATTGCACATCTACTTTCTTTTATATATTTCAATTTAGTTTTTTTTTTTTTTTGTACAACTTAGAATGGCAAACAAGCGACGGCCCACCTGATAGTTAGTGGTAACCGTCGCCTATACACATGAGCAGTACAATGGACATAACAGAGTATACTATTTCGTCCATGATAACCCCCATGCGTTGCCATTCCTGAGGACTCAGGTGTTATTCCTCTGTACCCTGTTAATTTATGCCATATCCCACCCTTCAAACTGAAACACAGCCGTGCAAACATAACTGCTTTACGGTTGAAACACGAATGGGACAGAGGTACCCAAGAAAACGATTTTTTTACAAAGTCTCCCTCTGTAGTTTCGCTTTTAAATAAATAAAAAAAAAAGATAATTCTCAATTTACCTATTTTTTACATATCGATCGATATTTCAGATTTTTTTATCATTACCATACTGCATTAAAAATGTAATTAACAAATTAATTTTCATGTTAAAATAATGTAAAACACAAATTGATATTCATAAGCCACGGTTGCATAATTGGATTTCTGTCTGATTTTTTTTTTTCCTTTCCTTATTTCTACACAATGTAAATTAGAAATTTAAGAAGTGGATCATCGTTTATAATTTATTTTAATTAGCTACAAGGTGCCTTTTGTGTTGCAAAAGTCCGTAATAAATTGAAGGCATAGCGAATATTGTGGTACAGGAAAAGTTTTACCTATTCTTCTCTTAATTGGTGGGGAATAAAACGTTTTCTTAGAAATAAATCGATTAGTTAAAACAAAGAATCTTGTGGCGAAATCCTTTTTATAGTTTATTTAAAGAGTTTATTTTAATTAACATCATTCCCGTGTGGTCCCGGCATAGAATAGGCTAACCCTTCCTTTCCCGTGGTGTCATAAGAGGCGACTAAGGGAGGGCGAGAGACGGACAGTATCGTCCCTATTAAAATGTCTCTAAAGCCCAACTGCGGCTGCCAATCCACCTATCAGGCGTTACAACTTCTGGCAGAACCCTCCTAGGGGGAAGCTTGTCCAGCAGTGGACAGTTAAATGGTGATATGTTGATGGTGATGATGATGATGATTACGAAACATTGCATTTTTCGTTAAAAGGTTAATTATAATGTATTTTCTATATTTAAAGTTTTCGTTAAATAAAATATGTAAATGACAGTAAAACACATAATATGTTATGTGGTTTAAAAGAAGTAAGAGGAGAAAAGTCAAACGTGGTCACCAACTTTATTTTTTACTATTCACAAACAGTTTTAATCCGCGACTTTGCTCGCATGAATTTCGGATGAAACATAGGATTTCTATGTGTTAATATTGCCAATGGTCTATATAAAATTCAATTTCTTATAAAAAAAAACCAGACAAGCGCAAGTTGCACTTGCGCAACGAGGATCCCGTACAAAATCATCATTTAATATTTTATTGACACATAACTACAAATTTACGGTTTTGGAATTTTTCCCCCTTTACTTGTAATACATGACATTGCTTCTTGCCAAATTTCATGAGGAAAGCCTATGTCCAGCTATAGAAGCATAATGGCTGAAATGACAATGATGATGCGCAATATGAGATTGAGAAGAACATAGATTACTGTTTATAGCGACCAATGAATATATCCTAGTCACACCAACAAAGACACCAGTGAAATAAATAAATATTTTCAATACAATTAATCCAATATAATGTGGCAACACTAATTCTTTGTACTTACATTCGCAATGGTACAAATATCGCCAAAGTTGGAATTAATTAATGGACACTTGTTCGTACGAGTCCCGGGCGGGACAAACTTCCACCGTCTAGTTCGTATAAGCAATTAGTATTAGATCTGGGCGGAATGACTAACGGTCTAATATCGTGTAAGATTAGGTACATATGGTTAGATAGTATGTTGATAATTATGATTATGTTTTAAAAAAAACCAACTTAAATTGTGACGTAACCGGTTGTTTTATTTATTTATTTATAAACCAGTCACTATGAAATTTGTTATAAATGTATGTTTTTTTTATACAACTTAGAATGGCAAACAAGCTGACGGTCCACCTGATGGAAAGTGGTAACCGTCGCCTATAGACATGAGCAGTACCATGGACATAACAGAGTATACTGTTTCCTCCCATGCGTTACCATTCTTGAAGACTCAGGTGTTATTCCTCTGTACCCAGTAAATTCACGCCATAGCTCACCCTTCAAACCGAAACACAGCCATGCAAACACAACTGCTTTACAGTTGAAACACGAATGGGACAGAGGTACCCAAGCAATCGACTTTTGTACAAAGTCTCCCTCTGGTGAAATAGAGAACGATATGGACCACTTTTTATGTACCCAATCAGTGAAAAATCCCAGTCACGTGGACAAAATGGCAAGTAAAAACTAGTATAAACTAAATACCTTACATACATTAGAAATAGACATACAAAAGGAATCGAGAAATATATTCTTCTGAAATCCACGCCACTAACCTATGTTTGGGCTGCTAATTGCAGGAAAGCGCATCTTTTAGGTAGAATTAACCGGGCGGTTGACAACGTCGATTTATCTAATTGTTAAAATACATATAGTGAACGTAATGCGACACGGTCACTACTCGGGTTTGTCACACGGAACTTACAGTTCTGTGGTTTGGTCGTTTATAATATAGGATTATTGCAAAATAATGGTATTTAGTGTCATGTGGATTGCATACTATATTTTGATGTAAGTATCTTTTATCTTTATCTAATATTAGCGATCCGTCTCGCTTTCACACGAGTAGACGGATATAAAGATACATTAGTATTTTATGTAATGTTTTTATAAGTAAATATGTAAATAATAGCTTCGTAAAAATGTAACACAAAATATCACGGATTACATTTTGTAATTTTCAAATTTTCGTAAGTATTACAATTTTTTTTTAATAATATATTTCCTATATTACTCGCTGATAATATTAGTTTCTATAGCGTTTTTTTTTTTTTTTAATAGTTAAGTAGTTTTTTAAGTGTATCCGTTAAAAACCAACTAATATACGTAAAATCAAATCTTTTGCCTTCATACCAAATTACTGTAATTATTCTAAATAAATATAAATAAAATATGGCAAGCGAGTTGACCCGCAGTTAGGATCTTGTCATATGGTCCCGATATAGGCCACCCCGTCCTTTCCCCTAGGTGTCGTAAGAGGCGACTAAGGGAAGGCAAGGGATGAGCAGCGGCACCCCTTTTAAAACATCTCCAAACCCTAACGGCGGTTACCAATTCGCCTTCCAAACGTAGTAACTAGTAGCAAAACGGCCCAATAGGGAGGCTTATTTATTTATTTAACACTTTATTGCACCAACATAACATGATTTGTTAATTTTCAACTAGTAGCAAAACGGTCTTATTGCTAATCTCTTCCAGACAACCTTTGGGTAGAAGGAATTAAAGCATAAATAGGTAGGTGGCGCGTTAAAAAAAATAGATCTGTAAAAAATAATATCTGTTGTTTAACAATGGACGCTGCTATCCATATCTCGACATTTAAGTTTCTTTAGTCGCTTCCTACGACACCTATAGGAAGGAAGGGATGTTCCATCTCTAATTATATACACAATAAATGTATATTAATCTATCGAATTGTGTACAATTTCAGATTAATCACTTTTGTGTTAGCAATAACTAATCATGCGGAGGCGAACAGACGTCAGAAAAGATATCTTATCTTCACTACCGGCACTCAATATGGGGCAAGTAGTATTTTAAAGAAACTGATCTCCCTTTAAATCCCCCATCATCGTCATCATATCGGCCGTTGACTCTCTATTGCTGAACACAGGCCTCCCCCATTGACTGCTATAAAAAACGGTCCTGAACCATTTATATCCACTGAAACCACCAAATACATGCCACTAATCTACGAGTAAATATATCAAAAAAGATATTGAGTGACTGGCTGACTGACCTCGGATTGATGTATGATCAATGCACAGATGAAACCGTTGCATCTAGAATCTTGAAATTTTACAGTTACTTACTTTGTATAGCGTAGATAATAATGAGGAAAGGTATTTTGAAAAGTTAACCCTTAAAGTTTAGTTTACTTAACCCTTAAACTTCCAAAATCCATGCGTACGAAGTCATGGTCCAAAGCTATTATCATATATGTATGAGCTAGCTGATCCGATAGAAGACGGTCTGTCAAAAATTGTAACTGTATTCAAGGAATATTTATTTGGAAAAAAATAAAAATTAGTTTTATTTAGAGAATCTTTCATTCTTTTTTCATCAAAATCATCTTCGGACTTCAACAAACATTTAAAAAAAGGTATAGCTAATATATCCAAGCGTTTCCAAGTTTTACACTTAGCAACATATTTAACTTATTTATTAATAATTAATGTATATAGAGATATATATAGGGGAGGCTTATGTCCAGCAGTGGACGGGTAATAGCTGAAATGATGACGATCATGATATATATGTATATATTAATACGAAAATTTGTAAAGACGTTAGATGATTCTACAGCTAAACATATTCAAAATGCCATTTGGTACCCACAGAAGTAGGTTTTATCCTAACTTAACACATAGGATGCTTAACACACTGACACACGCGGGCAAAGTCGTGGTAAATAGCATACTATTATACTGTACATGTGTATACATTTATGCCAAGTTCTATATACACAGATACGCAAAGTCAATAAACACATATATTTATGTATGAACCAAATTGTTAGGATGTTTGTTACTCAATCATGTGTAAACGGCTGAACGAATTTAAATTAAATTTGGTACACAGATGGACTATAGATATAAGATAGAATGCCCGCAGCATTATTGGCTCGTACTTTGCTTTACGTTACATCAAAATAATATTTGTATTTTACATATTTTTTTCACTTCATCACCGTTGAAAAAAATCTCACCACCTCTGACCATTTTCATAAAAGGAAATGAATGATCCAAATAAAAAATAATATCTTTTTTAATTGTATTTTTATAGATATTTGCAACAATATCAATCCCCCTCCATCCTGAGACGACAGTTAGCGTTGCTTGGTTCTTCGAAGCAAATTATTATAATGTAGCCAATGCAACCTACTTTGAACCTCTACTAGGAGATGTCACAGTAAGTAACATGAATACAATAATATTTACACTTCCATTTTACACAAATCAAAATGTATATATATACATACATACGAATATTAATGGATATCCGGCACGAAGGACCATGTATAAAGATATTTGGATACATGCAAGAGACATGTATTTGCTCTTCAATACAAAATATAAGAGGGAACATTAGTATTGCCATACATATAAAATAAAAAACCAAAAAATTTAATTTTGAAATTATCATGTAGTAGTTAATACACAAAATATTTATGATACGTCATTTATTATTTTAAATTTAAAATTAATTGAATTTAGAATTAAATGAAATAAAAATTAACATGTATTGTTTCAGATATCAAGAGATAGGAAACAGAGAAGTGTAAATGGACACAAAGGTTTAACGAGAAGTTACATTTATATTATAATCGAATCTATGTTGGAAAAGTAAGTAAAACATACAGACTTACTGACTTGGATATATAAAAAGACTTCCAATAAAAAGAAGTACATACTTAATTTACGTACATTTTTTATTGTGAATGTTATGTGAGGACTTTACAAACTGCGAACCTATTTTAATAATTCTTTTTGTTATCAATATAATTCTAAACATATATTCAAATATCTATTTTTTAGCTAATGAATGTGATGACATTTTCAAAGAACGCTTCTTTCTGCCCAACCCTCGAACATTTACATATCTTAGTCGCCTTTTTCGATACCGACGGGAAAGAAAGAAGTAGCCTATTCTATAGTGGGACCATACGATAATATCTTTAAGTATAAATATATCTAAATATATGTATCTTCAAACATCGTTTTTTTCTAATGGAATGGAATGGTCACCGCCTACTCTATTGGTATACGCTGGCGGGGTATCAGACTTTTTTTTAATAAATGATAATGGAATGGTAACTCCGGCTGCGCTAACGGCATACGCTGGCGGGGTACCAGTAAGAGATGATCGGTGAGGATGAAAAGACAGGTCAGTTAGCCCATCGTAACGAATTCAACGATAAATTACGAGAAAAATAGTCACGATGGTTCCCAGGGGGAACCGCGTGGAGGTCGACCTGATAGGGTATATATTGATATCAATGGGAACTAACCGGGTATGGTAGATAAGGATGGAAATAAATCAGTTACCCCATCGTGACGAATTCAACAATTATTAACCACGGTAATTTCCAGGGGGAACCGCGTGAAGCTCAACCTCGTAGAGTATATTGCTAGCAATTGCTAGACCCCATTACGGACAATCCCTTTCCCCACTCAAACGCCGATTAAACGATGAGCAAACACGGACGTATATACTAGTTAAGATAACAAAAGGTACGCAAACATGTTATGCAAATACTGTAATGTGGGTTTTGCGATTTATGAAATTAAATTCACCGTGCTGAATGTTGGTTGATTCAGATTCCAAATGGAATTTGATTGCGGGACACGCCGCCGCTCCGTTCCAGTTTTCCAGTTCATTTAGTGCGATTCCATTGTAATTTTTTTTTTTTTGGTATTTTCAAATTAGAGAGAGCACGAAATTTTACTATTCCAATCAGCTACATTTTCTAGTGAAGTGAACATTGCGTGCTCAATATGTTTTTACTGTATATTACTTTTTATACGCTACTTTGTGCACTTAGCTGGGGTATTGTATTGATTGACCGAAATACAGAGCAGCCTATGTCCATCTTCATGCCAAACAAATAAATTCACATTTAAATTGGCTGGTTTTTATCTTTACGAAGAAATCTACCCGATGGATTTGTTTTATGTAATTTAAAATGTCAAACAAGTTTACAGCCCACCTGATGAAAAGTAGTCATTTTAGATGGACAATAATTCAATGTACACTCCACCTATTCATAATCTGGCTGAGTACCAGTAAAAGATGATAGTTTGGTTGAAAGTTAACCACAATAGTTTCCACGTGGTAATCAACTAGACAGGATATATTTCTTACAATAGGGCCGGTAGCCTCCAATACTAATAATCCCCCCTTCCTCTATGGAAAGTGATAACCGTACCTCCCCTCATACCTCTAATTCATTACCCGTTCCTGAGAACTAACACGTTGAGCCTCCATAGCGTGTAACTTCATTATCATATCCTACTATTCAAAAGGAAACAGTCATATAGGCATGGCTGATTAGCGGCAGAAACACAAGTAAAATAGAAAATGTCTTTTCTACAAATTCTTTCTCTAGTAATTTACGTATTAAACTTATTGGATATTAACTTAGTAAACGTGTTAGATTAAAAAAAAAGTATTTTTTTATGTTTGTTACCTCATAACTCTGTCAATTCTAAACTGAATTTGATTATTTTTATCCGAAAGTATTTACTTACAGATTAATCGCATATAATAATAATAATAATAATAAATCTCTTTATTTTCAGGTATATACCCATAGTTAACATTTTTATATTATTAATTAAATAAATTGTTAATATATAAATTTGATCCGATTTGATTTAGTTCATTTATTAATTTTGTGATAGGTAAAGGTCTAAAAGTTAAACTAATTTTTAGACCAAAATAAATCCGTTTTTTTTTGTGTGTCTCAATCTTTTATTATTATTATGCTGAACAAAATGGCAGGCAAAGTTAATAAATAATAATCCAATTCACTTATTCCAATACCCTATTATTAGGAAATAGGGATATATCTGATAATAAGGCTATTTTTCCACAGACACGGTTACCAGGGACGGCAGTGCTTACTCAGGGCCATTTGTGAGGCGGCTACCTCGCAATATCCTCACAATGGATTATTGGGCGATATACTTCACTTGATACTTACGTAAGTTTTTTATTACGCTTAATTTATTTGATGATAATAGATTGGATATAATATTGACAACCCTAATAGGCAACATATTGCCTCCTTCTTACCTCCTGATGGTCACAAGTTCGATCCTATTACAACACAAATGTTTGTATTCATTTATACCTATTTCTATTGATGTGAGTATTTTTTCCATCGTATTCCCTTTATGGGGGAAACCTATCTTCACTACTGAACATAAGCCTCCCCCCATAAGCAAGGTTTGACAAGTGGATTGGCAACCGCAGTTAAGCTTTGGTGATTTTTTTTTTAATGTTTAGTTACTCTGTATTGTTTCCTTCATAACATTACAATAGTAAACTTATTATAAATACAATTACAAGAAATACTATATATGTTTGAAAAATATTCATAAATACATGAAACATAGTTTTACAAGTACAGCTGCTTAGTGACAGAAACCCAAGTAAAACAGAGGATAGAGAATGTCTTTTGTACAATATCTCCTTCTGGTAATTTATATATGTACATAATACATACATAAGTACATAAAAACTTTTTAACTAATTTCAATTAAAAAAGCAATTACTATAAATGGTTCCGAATTGACAAATATATCGTCTAAGATACACACAAAACTTTTTAAAGTTGGTTAAAAATTCACCTCCCCTATCGTAGAACAAGGAAACTTCAGTCTTTTGCTAGCTCTCGTAATTATTTCAAAATGCATTAAAAGAAGTCACTTTAATACGTAATGCTATAAGAATGAGATTTTTAATAGTGGGAATGCTAGTCCCAATTTCTAGCAATGAAAATCATCGTGTTTAATTCCTAGTGCATTAGCCACGACGAGTCATCCAACTCGATTTCATCATCATTAAAGCCTTCTTTAATGATCCGCCATTCTATATCATTAATATAGGAGTAAAAATGATTGCTACGAGTAGTAATGGGGTCTAACAGCCCCGTTTCTAGCAACATACCCTGTCAGGTGGACCTCCACGCGGTTCTCCCTGGAAATTATCGTAGTTAATTCTGGTGGAATTCGTCACGGTGATATGATTTCCTTCTTTTTTTTAATGGGTAATAATGGAATGATAATCCCACCTGTGCTATTAGTATATGCTGGCAGAGCAGCAGTGAGGGATGATAGATGATGAAAAAAGCAGGTCAGTTAGCCCTTTGCGACAAATTCCACTAGAATTAACCACTATGGTTTCCAAGGGGAACTATGTGGAGGTCGACCTGATTGGAAGGGCTAAGGGTCAGTCAGACTCCATTACTTATAATCCCTTAGCCCCCACTGACTTATTTCTAGCATATACCATAGCAAAGGCAGGGTTACCATTCCATACTCACCCGTTAAAAAAAACATTAGTATTGACATATCATTCCTTCTTTATCCATTGAAAAATAATTAGTTTCTTTTTTCTAGACCCTCAACATCGATCTCGGAAGATACAATAGATGACGTTTATTATGAAGCAGAATACCATGGAATAAATGATGATTGTAATCATTACAGATACCAATGCCCTGATGATCCATTGGAACACATATCAGCACGAATTGATGATTTTGTATAAATTTGTACCTCAGAGGTAACTCATATCAAGTCACCAATAAAAATGTTTAGAAGGCAAATAAATACATAAAAAATTTCATGTTAGCAAGGGAGGACTTATCTCTGAAAGAGATCTCTTCCAGCCAACCCAGTGTAGTTAGAGAGAATATGATTTAATTTTATTTATTTATTTTTGGATTGAACTTTGTTTATATTTATCTCTAACTTTATAATATAGTATTTCGACTTATTAATTTGAATACGAATAAATAGAAAATTTTTGTAATAAGCGGATTTGATACAAGTTACCCCTGGGGTAAACAAATATGTTTTTGTTTATTATAAAAATATAAATAGATTAATATTTATATAAACTTTAAATAAACAAAAATCCTCTCATTTATTACATAAATCAAGGCAACCAATATCAGAAAGTGGCAGAAAAATGTATAAGGTCAAAAATTTATTGACTACTACATAGGGTAAACTCACCAGACCCAAACCAGCTAAGGGTAAATTTTATTACTTTTTATGGAATAAAAGATTATTTATCAATTCTGACGATCACTGTTTGAATTCAAACTACTGTATTGTTTCATATAATAACGTAAGAGGTAATATATATTTCAGGCATAGTATTAATATAATAAATAATAATATGCTTAGAAATGAATGTAAATAAATAAATGAAAACTCTATTGTTCCCTTCAAAGTATGATGCAGATTATAAAAATTAACAACATATTTACAAAATGATATGATACGATTTTTTTTATACAACTTAGAATGTCAAACAAGCTGACGGCCCACCTGATGGGAAGCGGTAACCGTCGCCTATAAACATGAGCAGTACCATGGACATAACAGAGTATACTGTTTCGCCTATGATACCTCACATGCGTTGCCATTCCTGAGGACTCGTGTTACTCCTCTGTACCCTGTAAATTCACCTTTACCACATGCATAGGACAGTTAAACACGAATAGGACAGATATACCCAAGCAAACGACTTTTGTACAAAGTCTCCCTCTGTTAAATACTTCTAAATGATGATAAAAGCTTCCTTGGCAAGCGTGGCAACTACTAGAAAAAAAATTCAAGAACAAGACCTATGTTCAGCAGTGGACAGTTAACGGCTGAATATAATGAAGATGAAGAGAAGAAGAAAGTGATATCTACTAGGTAATCAACAAAAGATAAAGGTATATACTCAATGTGATATATTAAATATACATTTAAATAGACAAAAAGTATATTTAAACATTCATATAAATCTAAAGAGATCACAATAAGTCTAAAATGTACTTAAATCCCAAATAAGTACTACAAATCTCATACTACAAATATTGCCTCCAGCAACAACGTAGAGCCCGGTAAACTTCGATACTCAAATCAATATTGACTTTAATGGTAGTGCATAAAGTGCAGATTTCAATATATTGTTATATCACATCGTATCGATACGACGGGTTATAGTACACAAAATCAGCAACGTCGACAATCCAATGGGAACGTTGAAAACGAGACCCACTGCTCATAATATCGCTCAGCGTAGTATGCCCACCCTGTATACAGTTGATAGCATCTTCATGTTTTTTTTTTAATGAGTGATAATGGTATGGTAACCCCGCCTGCGCTATCGGTATATACTGGCGGGGCACCATGATAGATGACTGATGAGGATGAAAGCAGGTCAGTTAGCCTATCCTGACGAATTCAACTAGAATTAGCCACGATAGTTTCCAGGGGAAACCACGTGGAGGTCGACCCGACAGGGTATATTGCTATTAATGGGGCTATTTGACCCCGTTATTACCAATCCCTTGATGTTAATATTATAACTAGATTAGCTGTATCCCGTGGCTTTGCCTGCGTACACCAATTTTATAAAATAAAGGATGTGTTGAGTTCGGATATAACCTATCTATGTTCTAAACATGCAAATCCGTTAAGTAATATTTACATGGAAGAGTAATAAACATTTACGTATTTTATTTATTTATTTATTCTTTTAAACTTATTAAAATATGTATACAGAGCAGACTTAATGCCTGTTGGCATTCTCTACCACACAACTATTATACTAAAGAGAGAGAGATATAGAGTAAATGATGATGCATTGGACTAATAAAATAAAGTAAATGAAATAAATATTAATATAGATAACAACAAATTAATACATTTTGAGATAATTGAACATATATATACGTGTCCTATATATATATATATATATACGGCCATTAGGCCGATCTTTCCTAACGCGACTACAGTTCAGTACGAATCAATGATCTGTTTACCGGCACTCAGCATTTCCTTGTTTATCACGATGCAGATACTTTGACAGAGGCCATTCTGTGCCATTTTAAATAATAGGTTAAATAACCTGCATGGAACAAAATAAAATAATTTTATTTTTAGTGACATAAATAATTGAAAAAAAAATTCAGTTATACTCTATATTTGACATTTGCATTATTTAAAATGTTGTTATAATTATTCCTCTCCATCCAAAGGTTGCCTGGAAGAGATCGCTTTTAGCGATAAGGTCGCCCATTGTTTTCTCATTGTGATTATTTCATGTAATTGTCTATGTTTATAATAAGTTCACTATTGTAGTCTTTTGGAGGAAACAATAAAGTGTATCAATCTATCTAAGATTTATTTAAATATGGATACAAAATTAAAGTAAATGAGTTTATTTGCATTAAACAGTCTTTAAATAATTAACAAGGCCACATAGTATTAAGTTTGGCACCTGTTTAATTTCCTTAAGTGATATAGGCATGAAAATATTTATATTTTATAAAAAAAAAAAAGCGAAACGTAAAATTATAATACAATTCTTACATCTTAGTAATATAATTTAAACTGTGTGGTCCCTGCATAGAATAGGCCACTACTTTCTTCCCTGTAGTAGTTAGTAGTTGTAAGAGGCGACTAAGAAAGGGCGAAGATTGGGCAGCAACTTCTCTCTTGAAACATCTCCAAAGCTTAACTGCAGTTGCCAATCCGCATGCCAAGCGTGGCACTTACTGCCATATAAGGATATATATGTGATTAAAAAGGCTCCATCACATATAGAACGTGTATACCAAATTTCATAGTGCTTAATCCGCTAAAGCGCTATAAGGTAACAAATAAACAAACTCAGTTTCACATTTGTAATATTAGTATGTTATAAATGTACTATATTTATATCTTATATTGTAAATGTGACATCATATATAATATTTTAGACATAAAATATTAGGATAGAATAAACTAGACAGCACATTATCTAATGGGGGTCCTTCTGTCCACAAACTAGCATTGGCGTATTTGTCCCCTCACCTCACCCCCTCTACTGAAAATAATATTACATCAATTCAACAATACAAAGCTTGTTGAATATATAATATATAAAATATAATATAAAATATAATATAATATATAAAAAAATATATAAAAAAAA